AGTTATTTTACAAATACCACAAAATCTTTGGATCAGACGAAAATGATTTGGGGTATACTGATGCGATTGAACACAAAATACCTACACCAGACGATTTTGCTGTGAATGAACCTTTCCGTAGAGTGCCTCCTGCAGTTTTTCAAGAACTTCGAGAACATATTGACACACTAATACAGAAAAAGATCATTCGCCCAAGTAGTAGTAACTTCGCTAGCCCTATTGTTCTCGTCAGAAAGAAAAATAAATCACTCAGACTATGCGTGGATTACAGACAGCTGAATCACAACACAAAGAAGGATGTCTTCCCACTCCCTCGTATACAGGAAAGTATGGATGCACTGCTGAATGCAAAGTGGTTCTGCTCATTGGACCTTCAAAGCGCTTATCACCAGGTTAAGGTAGCTCAGGAGGATATTCACAAAACATCTTTTACCACACCTTTTGGCACTTTTGAGTACTTACGCATGCCATTCGGCCTCTGCAACGCACCTGCGACTTACCAAAGATTAATGACCATGGCATTTAAAGATGAGATTTTCAAAACGTTACTCGTCTATCTCGATGATTTATTAGTATACTCTTCTACCATCGAAGAAATGATTCATAGGCTAGAGAATGTCTTTTCAATTTTACACAGCTACAACTTGAAGCTTGAATTGAAAAAGTGTTACTTCTTTAAAGAGACTGTAACATACCTTGGTCACCAGATATCGAAAGAAGGAATAAAGCCTGATCCTGAAAAGATTAAGGTGATAGTGAACTGGAAACAGCCGAAGACCCTGAAGGATCTCAGAAGATTTCTTGGAATGGCAGGATACCACAGACGTTTTGTGAAGAACTATGCAGCTACTGCCCAACCATTACATAACCTTGTTACAAAAGTCACAAAAAGAACAAAAAAGAAGACCGAGAATATTGAAAAGCTATGGACAGAAGATTGTACACAAGCACAAGCTACACTTAAAGAAAAACTGTCTACAGCACCAGTCCTTGCTTTCGCAGACTACAACAAGCCTTTTGTATTAGAGATAGATGCATCATCATCAGGACTCGGATGTGAACTTCTCCAAGAACAAGAAGGAAAAATGAGAGTCATTGGATATGGCAGCCGATCATTGAGAGGAGGCGAGAAAAATATGAATAACTACTCTTCCAAAAAATTGGAGCTGTTAGCACTTAAATGGTCTGTTACAGAAAAGTTCAGAGATTTTCTACTTGGATCAAAATTCACAATTTTCACAGACAATAACCCATTGACGTATATCATGCGAAAGAAGAAACTACCAGCATTAGAGCAACGTTGGGTGTCTGACTTAGCATGCTTCAACTTTGAGATAAAGTACAAGCCAGGAATAAAGAACACAGCAGCAGATGCACTCTCCAGACTAGAACACAGTTCAGAAGATGAAGATGAGGATGATGACTTCGAAGTCAGTGCTATGAGTGTTATCGCAGAGATCACAAACACTACACACCTTCCAGATCTGTCTACAGAAATTAACCAGAAGGAAGTAAATGTTCTGACAGTAGAAAGTGATATAACTCCAACAGAAACAACTGTCTTCCCAACTATTACGAAGGAAGGTCTAGCCACATTGCAAGACAATGATCAAGATATCAGTCTCATAAAAGAAATCATAAAACATAACATTATTCCAACACCTAAGATACTGAAAAAGATGACAAAACATCAAAGAAAATGGGAGAAACAAAGACATAAACTCCGACTAGTTGATAACATATTGTATAGGAAGGTGAAGTCAAATGATAAAGATGTCAATCAAGTTGCTATTCCAACTGTTCTAAAAGAAGAAGTTCTAAAAGCGGGACATGACTTTGCAGGACACCAAGGTGTTGAAAGAACTGATAAACTGATTAGTGATAGATACTTTTGGCCAGGAATGAAACAAGACATATGTGAATATATCAAGACATGTAATCGATGTGTATTTGGCAAGATGCCCTTTCACAAAATCATTACTCCCATGGGACGATTAACCGCAAAATCACCACTAGACCTAGTCTGTATTGATTTTACACTTTTGGAAAAAGCTACCAACGGAATGGAAAACGTTTTGATCATAACTGATGTCTTTACAAAGTTCACAATTGCCAGAGAAACTAAGGACCAAACAGCTGAAACAGTGTCAAAAGTTCTTGTGAAAGATCTGTTTTTAGTTTATGGTATTCCCAAACGACTACACAGCGACCAGGGAAGGAACTTTGAAAGCAAGATAGTAGACTGTCTGTGTAAAACATACAATGTTCAGAAGTCACGAACCACACCGTACCATCCCCAAGGAAATGGTCAGTGCGAACGGTTCAACAGAACCCTCCACAATCTACTGCTGTCACTAGAAGCAAAGAAGAAGAACAAATGGCCAGAATACCTGAAGGAGTTGGTGTATTCTTACAACATAACCCCACATAGCTCCACGGGTTATTCACCGTTTTACATGATGTTTGGCCGAGAAGCATTACTACCACTATCTTTAGTGCTTGATTCAGAGAATGACGATGAAGATTCTGAAGGAAATAAAGCAGATAACTGGGTAACCAAACAAAAGCAGACGTTCAAAGAAGCTTATGCTCATGCAGAAGAAAATATGAATCAAAATGCTGATAGAAGGAAAGAAAGACATGACAAGAAACCAACAATCATTGAAGATAAAATAGATGTTGGAAGAAAAGTCTTAACAAGAAGGAGAACACTTGGAAGAAACAAGATACAAGACTATTATGAAGATTCTGTATACAAAGTGATTGAAAGGAAAGGAGACACATATACAATTGAGAATGAAGACTCACTGAGGAAAACTGTAAATAGAGAAGATTTGAAAGAGTTGCCAGAAGGGATCAGAAACAAAAAGCTCCTTAATAAGGATACAGCTGAAGAAGTGCCTCAACTGAGAAGGTCTAAGAGACTTTTAGATCAACAGAAGTAAATCGAGATTTCACTCTGATTTCTGCGCGTTACTGTAGTTAAGATAGTAGCTACAATTTAAACCATTTTTCAAAATCATGACTGTAGTGGGATCTATAATTTTATAAACGACCTATTTTTTGGTCGTGGTTGTTAATTAGGGGAGGAAATACCAATCTAATAGCGTTTAGAGAATTATTCATCTTATACGAAGACAGATATTTTGAATCATTTGATTATTTTAACTTATGTTTGATGTTTGTATTAAATTTTCTTATTCATTTAAGATATTGTATATTTATTATATCAGTTAACTGTGGTGGCCGTGTTTAAGGTTCATTTTATTAAAATGAAGACGAGTCCGCGTGGATGTGACATGCACTTTTATAAATATACTTTTAAATATTGTTGGTACAACTGATTATTCCTACCCAATGTATACTACTTCTCAACACAGCACATACTGAGACTGTACTGATATGCCACCTTTAAAAAGGTTTAGTAACTACTGTATCACATGATCTAGGTCACATGATCATATACTTTAGTGTTGGGCAAGGAGGATTGGCTCCCAGGATCGAAACTCGATATTTTCCAACAATGAAAACGTCGAAATGTCGTTATTTTCTGAAATTAAAACCGACTATAAATTCAAAATAAACAGTTCAAAAGATTCGAACCAATATCTCGATCATTTCTTGTGAGTTTTGGAATTTTTCGTTTGGAAATAAGACCAAAATTCACGATTTAAATGTTGAAGTGAACAAAATGGCGGCTGTTTGAATTCGAATTTTGTATTACGACATACCCATATATGGGACAGAATATCGGTGGTGCACTCTGGGAGCCAATCCTCCTTGGTGTTGGGCCTGCTTTTGAATCTTCTGGATGTGGTAAATATTTTTCCATACTTTGACCAATTTCTAAACAAGTTATATTGTCTCAGTATATTATTCATATAGTTAGTTTTAAAGATTAATATATAATCTCTATGTTGAAATAGGTATTTTTTATATACCGTTTGTAATTTTGAACTTATTAGGAGTTTAAGGAAAGACTCAAGATATTTTGCAAATTTCAACATCAGCCATATTGGATTTCATTCCTTTGTTTACATTTTCACTTAGGTTCAAATGTACATTTTTAGGTTAGTTCCCTAGCTGACTTACTTTACCATATGCCCACACTCACAGCCCAAGTAGCTTTATTGTCAGGTAAAATTCCACTCTTGTTATTTGATTTATATTTGTAGTATGTGTAAGGTCAATACGACATTTTGTAAGGTCAACTTGACCCTATTGACCATATTGAACAAGTCATGCTTCATGTGTTTTGATGTTTATATAATGCTTCAGGCATTGTGTGGGGAAATAAAGATTCATTCATATATTACTTAATCCCCATCACAAATATGGTTTTATCAATTAAAACATTAAACATTAATCTGCATTTTAATGACATTTTACTTTATTGCTACATATCAACTTATGGTGTGAATTTTATATTTTTAGGCATTCCACCTACAGTTCTGCACTGGCAGACTGGTCACTCTTTTGTAGGCTAATTTATATATTAAGGTAGTTGTCACTCTTTTGTAATGTTTTACATTTTATGAATTAAGGTAGTTCCACACTTTCATGGATTAAGGTATTTCTACACTTTCATGGATTAAGGTAGTTGTCACTCTTTTGTGATTTGTCTTTTAAGGTAGTTGTACAACAACAGCAGTTGTGTTAAGGTAGTTGTGCAACATATACATGATCAATAAGGAAGTTGACTGATATAATACATGATATAATATAAAATATTTTATAAATTTCTCTTGTTTATTTATTTTGGACAAAACGTCCCTCACATTAAGGTAGGTGATAATCATAGTTACATAACTGATGCATTACATTCCTTTATACTCATGGGTACTTTGTTTCGATGATGTCATATATGGGAGGATTCCGAATTTTGTAGAAATGAAGCAACATCATGTTCTCTAGGCAATAAACCAAAGCTTAAATGTAGAGTGTATATAGTCAAGTTCATGAGAAGGGTACTTGATACATACTCCTTCCAGACAAAACCAGTCACAATTTTGGTACAAAAATGGTTGTTATTAAAAAATGGTTTATTCATGTTATCAGAACTAATTTATGATGTTATTCAAATGGATTACAGATGTTTTTGTTATGTTATTATCTATCTCAAATATTGAACTCAACTTAAGTAATGTTCTTTCAATTATTTATATTTATTTATTTATTATTGTTAATCATAATTGAGATCTGTTGTGCCATTGACCTGAGGTAAAATTTACAAAAAATCATGTTTATCTTATTGTATATATTTTGTACTAAAATAAAAGTGTACTACTATATGGTACTAAATGTCTACATAACTTGTATATTTGTCTATTCAATTACTGAAAAGTTAATTGAGCATTTTTATCAATAAGTACACTAACTGTTCCAACCAGTATCATACAGAAACCCCCTACATGATAATACTGTTTTCCCTATCACATATTTAATGCGGAAAATGTCCACCACAACTCCATTTGTGTCCATAATTGTATTTTCATCCAGAAATTATCATTAATTATTGCATAGTCTCAAATTGCTGAGTTTCTTTAATTTATGACATAAAAGTCTCAGTAAACAGACATTGATTTCTCGAAGATCATCGCAATGTCATCATCTGTCTTCTCCCTAGGTGATAGTTTTGTTACCCTGGTCTGAAACATATATAAAAATTGTAAACACATAATACAGTTAATATCCATACTTAACACATGTTATACTGTAAACATTCCCAGTGGGGTAAACATATGTAATATTGTTAGTACCTCAGTGTAAATACTCGCATCTGATTGGTCAATTAGCGGTCAACATTTTTGCCTGTACCTCACCTGTGCATCATGGGATATCATATTATTGACCGTTTATGTTACTGTACTACACTTGTGAATTATGGGGAATATGACGTCATAATGTTTACAGAAAAACATGGTAGACGGACATTTCGTAAACGTTGATGAAAGTGATATTTTGACTTTGCTAGACGACAAGTATAGCAAAAATACAAAAAGAAACGAAAAATTAACATTAATTTACTAGTGAGTACGCTGCTATGTGCCAAAAACAGAGAGATTAACTACCACTGTCTTCAGATTTTCTTAAAAAATTATTGCTGGCGTGGTTCAGAGAAAAGGTTGTGAAATGAAGCCATGGTTGATGACTGTCGTCTATATGTGTATTATTAGTTTCTTCTGACTAACAAAACAATTGTAGACCTCTCAATTCGGTCAACCGTCAAAATCATATACCTCGACTGTAAACCTTGAAACTACTGTTGACCTCGACCTTCGGTCTCTGTCAACAGTAGTTTCTCGGTTTACAGTCTCGGTATACAATTTTGCTGGTTGACCTCTGGAGAGGTCAACAATTGTATACTGTAAACATTTCCAGTGGGGTAAACATATGTAGTACCTAAATTTTCACAGTGAGCTACATGTAAGTGATGTAATACTGTAAATGTTTAAACACACAGTGGAGTAAATACATGTGCATGTGATAGCTAGTGTGATACTCTAAATGTTCAGGGTGGAGTAACCTTTCTATACTTTAAACATTCCCAGTGGGATAAACATATGTAATACCGTAAATTTTCACAGTGAGCTAAGTGATGAAATACTGTAAATGTTCATACGCTCAGTGGGGTAAACACATGTGCATGTGATAGTGTGATACTCTAAATGTTCAGGGTGGGGTTAATTCGTGTAATACTTTAAACATTCCCAGTATGGTAAGCATATGTAATACCATAAATTTTCACAGCTGGCTAAACAATGTTTAACTGTAAATGTCCATATGCACAGTGTGGTAAACACATGTACCCGTGACACTCTAAATGTTTAGTGGGATAAACACATGGACAAGTAATCCTGATAATGTTCGCAGTGTGGTTAACACATTTAATACTGTCAATTGTCATTTCATGATAATTAACTTTAGTTTCCAAAACATTTACAACTATTTTTGAAAAATTGTATTTTGCAGTTTTTCTGCTATCACTTTCGCAGTTTTGGGAGGTGTACAGGTGTTAGGAAAAAGACAATTCAAATACCGCCTATAATGTCCATATCAGGGTAATTACAGGGTGGGCCAAAAAGCCACCCGTTACGAATATTCCTGATATATTTATTTTTAACAAACACACCAACAATGATACATCACTTTAAAGATAATATTTAAAAAAAAGATATATACGTATTATAGATGTATATCATCTTATTGCAAATTAAATTACCTTTAAAGTGATATATCATTGTTGGTGTGTTTGTTAAAAAATAAATATTTATCAGGAATATTGGCTAGGGGGGTTGGACCACCCTGTATATACAAATTGTATGCATTTAAAGGGCCACTTTCCATAATAATTATTTTCTAAATTCCTGAAACTACTAAGTTTATTCCATTAATTTTATTTTTCTGCTCAGACACCTTTTACATTACAATAATCATGGGCTTTCAATTACAATTTCTATCATTTTTCAAATCTTATCTAAGGTAAATAAATGAATAGCAAAAATAAATTATCCAACAAACAAGGATACTATTATTCATACATTTAGAATAAACTTTATAATGAATGAGTAAATCACAATAACCTGTGGTTTAACTGCCTCTACCATGGCAGGGATGTCATCTGTTGTATATCCCAATGGCTTCAGTCCGTCTTCTATCTTCATGTCATGCATGTAACCCCTCATTACATCAGCAAGGATCTTACCAGCATCTGCCCTCTTAGCATTAGTGATATCAGCACCTACATGTGCATGTACAGTCAAATAAACACTCAATCTCCATTAGCAAGGGGCATCATTCTCAGATTAAGATGGCTTTATATTTGACAATAGCAGGTGAGGAAAAGACTGACATTGTTACAATTTGTGTGGCACTTGAATTTTAATCACAGACATAAACATGTTTTATTTGTAGTCCAACAAAAGAGCTTATGTCACTAAATATATGAAGGAATTGTAATATAATACCTAATAATTCAGCTCCTTCGAGATGTCTCTCTGGGCAGGCAGGGGCAGTGAAGTCAAACACTTGAGGGGACGTGATCACAACAGACAGACCATGAGGCTGTAAACAGACAGACCATTAGGTTGTAAAACAGACAGACCATTAGGTTGTAAAACAGACAGCATCATTAGGTTGTAAAACAGACAGACCATTAGGTTGTAAAACAGACAGCATCATTAGGTTGTAAAACAGACAGACCATTAGGTTGTAAAACAGACAGCATCATTAGGTTGTAAAACAGACAGACCATTAGGTTGTAAAACAGACAGCATCATTAGGTTGTAAAACAGACAGACCATTAGGTTGTAAAACAGACAGCATCATTAGGTTGTAAAACAGACAGACCATTAGGTTGTAAAACAGACAGCATCATTAGGTTGTAAAACAGACAGACCATTAGGTTGTAAAACAGACAGCATCATTAGGTTGTAAAACAGACAGACCATTAGGTTGTAAAACAGACAGCATCATTAGGTTGTAAAACAGACAGACCATTAGGTTGTAAACAGACAGCATCATTAGGTTGTAAAACAGACAGACCATTAGGTTGTAAAACAGACAGCATCATTAGGTTGTAAAACAGACAGACCATTAGGTTGTAAAACAGACAGCATCATTAGGTTGTAAAACAGACAGACCATTAGGTTGTAAAACAGACAGCATCATTAGGTTGTAAAACAGACAGACCATTATGTTGTAAAACAGACAGCATCATTAGGTTGTAAAACAGACAGACCATTAGGTTGTAAACAGACAGCATCATTAGGTTGTAAAACAGACAGACCATTAGGTTGTAAAACAGACAGCATCATTAGGTTGTAAAACAGACAGACCATTAGGTTGTAAAACAGACAGACCATTAGGTTGTAAACAGACAGCATCATACAAGATGAAAAGGCCACCAAAGTTATGGCAATAGATTTCAGACAGCTGTAAACAAGAGGTTTTTTATAAGACCAGTGTAAAGTCTTCAATAAAAATGCATAGAATAATATCAAGATCAATTGGATTATCTGCTCATAAGGCATGTTTAACCCACCTTCTTCAAAATGCACCTGACATTTTCACTCAGAATGCACACTTTTATCTCTTGAAATATAAAATTCATTCATTTCGGCTTAGGATTTTGATAATCCAAATTGTGCTTCAAGTGTAGCTTTATCAAAAAGATCATCAATGTGGCATAAAGTTAATATATAAATGTATAGTTCAAATTAAATGTATTTCAATTTGATTGAATGTTCTCCATTAGGATGATTAACGAAGTATACATTGTACAAATTTAAGTTTAGTCATCAATCAAGGCAGCGAGAATATTTTGCCTTGGAGGACTTATGAATAAAAATCAATGAACCTTGAACTGTTGTTTATTGATGATATATTACTCACATTGAAGTCTAAGGTATTGCATGTTTCCACCTCATTATTTAGGTCAACCTTTTGCTACCCAACCTACTTTTAATAGGTAGGTTACATATTAGATTAGTAATGTAATATATACATGTACCATCTACTGTACCCTTGATTTAATTGGCAGATATTAAAAATCATACATTAGAGATATATCAGAATTTCCAATTTAAGCATTTGGTACCAGTACCGGAAGTAGCTATGACGTCATATCTGGTTTTGACCATTTTTATTAGGAGTTTCATACAAATCATAGACAATAAAATATTTGAGATCTATTATAGTATAATGTAGTCATAGTTTAGACAGATCTCCAAGTAATAGTGGATTCTTGCTTGGCAGCCATTTTAAATTTTCTGAAGCAAGAATAAGGAAAACAATACCATAATTGTGATCTATTCTAAAATTCCTTCAATTTAAGTATAACATATACCAGGCCTGTCAACTTGGGAACACCTAACATGAGTGACTTGGAAATGTTGAACACCTCCCCTCAAAATGTGGACACCTTGGTCCAAATCTGAACACCTTGATCCAAATTTTGAACACCTTGGTTTCAATTTTATTACATCTTGCCAAATTTTGAACACCTCAAATTTTTCGCGCTCGCTACGCTCGCGTTTCAAACATCCATCAACGGGGGGGGGGTAGGTACGAACAATTTCGAACGGAATGCGTGACATATCCGTAATTCGCGTGAAAAGTCCGAACGAAATGCGTACGTTTTTTTCCCGTCGTTCGTATTTTTGCTGTGTAGACAATCTTTTTTAAAAAAATTTCTACAGAAATATTTTTGCTTGACAATTACCAGGTAAAATGCGTATTTGCGTGGCATTTTCTGTCACGCAAAAATAACTGGCGTGACTTCAAATTCTTCAGCAAATGCGTGAAAAATACGCAAATTGCGGGACAGTTGACAGGCCTGCATATACTGTAGTCATACATTGAAATAACCCGGAAATTACTGCGAAATCCCACATAAAGCGGTCATTTTGAATTTTACAAGGCCCGATTCAGAAAAATGATACGATATTTGCAATCTACTCAAAATTGCCTTTCATTTGAGTATAATAAAGCTTTACTTCAGAAAGATTTCAAAATCAACAACAAATCCTGTACACTATCAAAATTTCAAGCAAAAATATTTATTACTTTGGTTTAAAAATGAAAAACTTAGATTGTTGCCAAATATTCTCGCCATCGTGAAAAAATTTTTTTGCGAAAACCTATACCAATACAATGTATATATATATATTTCAATTATTATGAAGCAAATCCATCTGGACAGACTGACAAACAGAAGGACTGATGGACAGACAGAGAGCTTAACTATATCCCTACCGAACTTCGTATACATGTAACAGTAATTGACATTGAAATTCTGCTCAGTGATATATACAAATAATACAGAGATTGATATGGCAAGCGTATGTACAATACAATACATTTTTATCAAACAGTCATTTATATTTTCTTTTAAATATATCATAATAGACTATACATTTATAAAGCATATTTGATTACTGCTGTATATACTATACATCACCTTCTTTTTGTTTGTTTAGCTAAATTCTCAACTTAAAGTGTTCCAGAAAAATAGCTATACTGACCAAAGTGTTCATTTCAGATGAGTCCATCTAAAAAGGGATATACATAGTCAAACGACATACTTTCACATTTTCACTAAATACAAGAAAATTTTGTTTCAAACTATCCAAGTATAATATTAAAAGTACAGTGAAAATCTTAATTTTCTCAAAAATGTATAATGGTGAAACACTGCTCCAGGTCCAAACACTGCTCCAATATCCCAGATGCGAGTAGAAATAATCTTGATTTACGTCATTAAAAAATCTCAATTCAGTCAAACTAATGTCATATTTGGAATCTACATGTAAAATTACTTTTAGAAGTGTGCATGGTTTTGAAAAGAGTTTATCAACTTTGAAAATTTAATTTTGTTTGAAAATGTGACTTCTAGGTCGGGGAGATTCCCCATAGACCCAATGTTGTAAAACCACAAAAAGTGAAATATCTTTTCTTGTGTTGGGTAGATAATATTTTCTTTTACTGGACATATTTTAATTTGTATAACTATCAGATACATTAAGGTAATATGAAAAGTGAACCACTAAAACTGATGCATATTCAAGTTAAAGGGAATTTTGTAATACCCTGCCATGTTAATTCCCCCGAATCAGCCACCTGGTGGCGAAACTGGTGACTACCTACTCGCATCTGAGTAATTGCTCCATGCTTTTTACTTCTTTTTGCAATTTTGACCATGACCCTATAAACTACTAGGCCACATCAGTTTACTGATGTTAAAAGTCATGTTATTAAAAATAAGTCAATGAGTAAATACATCCAGCTCGAATTGTTAAACTTTAGACAGTATACTATACTAAACAGTTACCCATGTACTACACATGTACAATGTTACATTTCAGGGTCCATATGAATTAAGAGGGGAGTGTGTGATTATTTTAGATTTAGTGAAATCAACTGGCAAATGTGTGAAAACCTATAAATAGTTAAATGAGGAATAGCAAGACAGGTACTTTTGGAGGTCAAAATGTCAAATGAGAAAACCTTATGAAAACCCTTACAAAAACGTTTCCTTGTAAAAATAATTTAAGGAATAATGTACACAATCTCTTGCAATGCGTGAAAAAATTTAAACTCAAAACTCAATGAATTGTGGATAATTTATATATTTGTGTGATTGTCTATCCTTGGACTTTGAATTTAGGCTGCCAGTGTCTGAGCTGTCCTCTCATACCAAAATGGATCAAATATTGGTTGGTCCTATTCATTTAGTCCCTGCATGATTACTGACTCTTGCAAAATGCACACTCTATATGATTTCTGCTACACTTTAACAATTTTTCTCAACAGTCAATTTATTAACATTTCATGTTAAACATGACCATACTAACATCTTTTAAGACATACATAGAAAAAGGGCTGATAAGAAATCATGTATTCGTTACAAAGTATCATTTTCTTTTTGCTCCTCATCAGTTTTGTAAAATTTGGTGATTCCTCAAAATGCAATATATGCAAGAGGGAAGCGATGCAAGAAGGAAATTCTACAGAGACGACATTATCATTTCTATCAGATGGGGATCCTTCAGAGTTATCTGCCGCCCCAAGGGTCTTGCATAAAACCTGGAAATTATTTGGAGTCAAATCGAGATCAGAAATTGTTAAAAAAGGTGAGTGTATGAGGCTGTGTACCATGTGGATGATGTATGTTAATAATATTTATTACAGGTCGTGTAGACCATTGTTGCCTGATTTATATCAAAAACATTGACTTTTGCACGTTGGTGATGATAATGCGCCTTTTTTAATAGACCTCATATCTTAGAAGGGTATCAGTTCAAAAAAAATACTAGATGACCGAACATATTTTGCCATGCACTGCGCCTATTTATTTGGCAATACAAAAAATAATCGCAATAAATTAATATGGGATGGAGGGGGGATTTATATGTCTTTACGATGGAACAAATTCACAAGAACTCGTGTATTTGAAAAAACTAAACTCAGTACCCCAGTAAGAAACTGGATACTAGTATTATATCTCTGGAGAATGAAAAATGGGAACATTTGGAGTCATAAGAATAAATTCAAGTAGCATGTCTTATCATGTCTTATATACACATTATTCCCCCTCCATTCCATCCCCCCTCCATCCCATATTAATTTATTTCGATTATTTTTTGTATAACGCATGGAAGCTAACTTTAAAAAGTGAGCAATGTCATTACTATTGTGATAATAACGTTAATGTCCCTTATACCTATTTATTACAGGTCGTGTGACGTGTAGACCATTGTTGCCCGATTTATAGCAAAAACATTGACTTTTGCACGTTGGTGATGATGAAAATTACTAGATGGCCTAACATATTTTGCTATTTATTTGGCAATTCAGTTGTAAATTTTCTCTTGAAAAAATAAATCTTCCAAAGGAGGAGGCAAAGTATCGCAACAGATTTGGGACAGTCATATGTTGGATTTTGGCTATTTTCTGAGGATTTAAACAGGTGCATATGTTAGGCCAATGCATTATCTCCAGGAAAAGCACTAATAGAGATGATGAAATAATTTTGACTTTGAGACAGGGAAGATGCACCCACAATTTTTTTCTAAAATGTTGTCCTGATTTTCAACCCCTTCCACCCCTGCTTTTTCAATTTTTGTTGCATCAAAATGTTGCATTTTCAGACACAGTTAACCCCTGTAAAGGAATAAGTAACTCCTCTTTGATAAATTGGAAAACAATATAGGGAAAATGCATGCGATCCATTGCTTTCATCTAATTTTGGTCACCCATAATGGATATCTTTAAAACCCCTGAAGGAGTTACTTATTCTCTTGAAGGGTTTAATTGTGTGTCCAAATGCAACATTTTGATTTTTGCAACATTTTTGCAAAAAGAATTTGAAAAAGCAGGGGTGGAAGGGGTCGAAAATCAGGAAAACATTTCAGAAAAACATGTGGGTGGGTTGTTTGCATCTTCCCTGTCTCAAAGTCAAAATTATTTCATCATTTCTATGAGTGCTTTTCCTGGAGATAATGCATTGGGTCAAACATATGCACCTGTTTAAATCCTCAGAAAATAGCCAAAATCTAACATATGACTGTCCGGAAGCTGTTGCGCTACTTTCCCTCCTCCTTTGTTGTGTTTTCTTGCAGAAATCGCCTAATCCCCCCAATCCCATTTGTACGATTAATGGGCTATGTGCTAAAAAGTCAGAATTTGTGATTATTCTCACTGCATGTTTTTGTAACAAAAGCAACTTATTCAAAAATGTTTTACATGCATTACCCCATGTTGCAATAGTTCAATTGTGACAATATAAGTGAATTATAAATGGTAATCACAGTACTGTCAACCCCCAAAGATTTTCTCGCGGGACAGATTTTTTAGACCCAGTGCCAAAAATTCGCGGGATTTTGCGGGACATCAGCCTAAATTCGCGGGATTTTGCGGGACATTTAAGGAATTTGCGTGATTGCGCTAATAGGTCGAATTTCGATCAAATTCGCAGGATTTCGCGGGAACTTTCGAGGGACAAACACGCTAATTGCGGGACAGTTAACAGGGTAACCACCAAAGACTTCATAGAGGGGCAATCTTTTTTAGACAAAGTGCCCTAAATTTGCAGGATTGGCGAAACATCCACCTAAATTTGCGGGATGTCGCAGGACATTCAAGGGATTTGCGTGATTGGGGCTTAATGTAAAAGTACTCAAATCAAACTTTCAGATACTGATTTATCAAATATAATGCACTTAACTTAAGTAAACGTCAACACAATTCCACACAATACACATAGAAATATTATTAAAGGGGCAACAAGGCCTGTAGAGAGAAAAATCAAATTCTTTTACTTTTTCATAGCTATAAAGGCAACATTTGGCTTAACATATTCTTTGACATACCTATTTTCTTAAAATGTATGAATAAACTATCAATTTCAGCATTAAGAAGTGTAAATTCAGTTCAAAGCTTCTATAAAGGGAGTCCCACTTATAGATTTTTAAGATGCACCATTTTGAGGAATATCGGCTGAAATACCGTAATGTTCATCCAGGGGGTTTCTTTGGAACTAATAAAAGTATATGTTAGTCTTCAAGAAATAGCCAAACCAGACAATATGGTACAACGAAAATGGGACTTCTGCGCATGTTACAATTTTTCGTCAAAACTCAACTTTTGTTCAAGTTGATACGATTGTCTTTCGAACTAGAGACTTACCTCATTCGAAAGATCATAAAAGACTCTATCTATACTGAAAATCTTAGATCCAAACATAGTAGAATACGCCGTCAGTCCGCATTTGATTTTTTGAAGTGAGTTTCGTAGATCGTCAGATTTCTCCGACTGATATCGGGTTATCTCAAACAGGTTCGTTTATAAATACGAATTTCTTTACCGTTGTAAGGCGCATGCGCAAAATTGATTTATAAACGTTATTGGTTGATGGTTTTTCTCCTGCGCATGCGTGAAGTCTGATGAACACTTATGACGAAGACCGGAGCAAACATTACTAGCTCTCGAACGAAATTCCAAGATTCAGGTCATTTCGCCGTGTTTGCTAAGCGTGTATACGTGAATGACAAGCTGTTTTGAGTAGATCAGGTACCTGTTTTAGACACAACATTGATTTAGCTTGACATTGATGTGCACATTGGCACTTTTGAGCATGTTAATACAAGTTTTTACACTCTTAGCACGAGACGGGTTTTCGAAAAATCTGTTATCTGATTCTACTACGAAAGTTCATGGGTAACCTGATAACTAGAAAATACAACCAAATACTTTTCGAACGTACAATAGCAATATTTCTCACCTAACGTCTTCATAGTTTTAGGAACGTATTTGAAACGCATGATAGCGAAATATATCAAGATACTATATCTGCCTAATGTAGTTATGTAGTGTTCACAAAGTTTTGAAACATATTTTATCCAGATCCTTTAGAAATTAACTTATCCAATAAATTACTTTACTAGTTCTAGTACCTTGCGTGACTCGTTCATAAAATTCTTTAATTCTACCTCGTTCCCAATACGTCCTCAGACAGACAAGAAATCGAAGTCACACCCGTTTGTTTGCGTGACAGAACAATATGCCACGCAAAATACTAATACGCACTTTCTCTGATTATTGTCAAGCAAATACAGTTTAGGAGAAGAACGAAGGCCGAAAATAAATCCCAAGTGATTAGGTTTAGAATGTTTTGTTCTTTTTCGATTTGATAAGAGACAGAGACTAAGAAATTGAATGCGACGAAATATTTTGACAACGTAATATTGTATACTGTTTTATTTTTAAAGTTCTATGCGTTAACTTATTTTATCTGTTTCAAAATGTTTCATTTTATTTTGCCTACAAAAAAGAGATTGAAGAAGTTAAGATAAACTGTTCGGTAATATATATTGTGTTTTAATAACCGCTTTTAGGATCACAATATAAAATAAATCCCCCGTTCCTGCCATTCTAGTAGCACCATGTAATGGGCGCAATTCTAAGTGAGAGAGAGAGAGATATCTATGAACATCAGAATGCGTCCATCCCATTAATTTGGCCAAATACATGGCATGAAACTGGCGTAAGCTTAACTTGGTACGTCCCCCTTTCTCTGGTAAATTATGACTAGGCCTATATTTTTCGGAGTAATGGGTTTCTGACAACTGGGGTGTACCCTTTAGCTTCTTACACTGTATATCACAAGATAATCACAATTACTTAGGCTCGGGGATTGTTACAATTTTGAAAATTCGCGGAGGTCAAAGCCGACATTTGCGGGACTTCGCGGGACATTGCGGGACACGCGAATTAGCCAAATTTTGATCAAATTCGCGGGATAATCCCGCCATTCGCGGGACACTTGACAGCTCTGTAATCATAGTTTTTCTATTCAATTTATATTTAATCTTTCCCAGAATACCAATACTTTTTGATATTTTATGTGTTACCTTATTTATGTGCTCATTCCATTTTAATTTACTGTCAAATGTTACTCCCAGAAAATTCGTATGCATTACTCCAGGCCTGTCAACTGTCCCGCAATTTGCGTATTTGTCACGCATTTGCTGAAGAATTTGAAGTCACGCCAGTTTTTTTTGCGTGACAGAAAATGTCACGCAAAATACGCATTTTACCTGGCAATTGTCACGCAAAAATATTTTTTCGAAATATGTTTACGATACGGTAAAAATACGAACGTCGGAAAAAACCGAACGCAATTTGTTCGGATTTGTCACGCGAATCCCGTATGTGTCACGCATGTTCATTGAAAATTTTTCGTCCCTCCCCCCCCCCCCCGTTGACGAGAACGCGAGCGTAGCGAGCGCGAAAAATTTGAGGTGTTCAAAGTTTGGCAAAGGTGCTCAAACTTTGGCCAAAGGTGTTTAAAAGTTGGCCAAAGGTGTTCAAAATTTGGACAAAAGTGTTCAGATTTGGACTTAGGTGTCCAACATTTTGAAGTCACTCATATTAGGTGGTCCCAAGTTGACAGCCCTGTTACTCTTTTAAGAATATTACCCCCTCTAAAATCTTGATTTTCATCAATATTTAACTTTGGTCTTGTAAATAGCACATAATTTGTCTATATTCAATGAAATCTTGCCATTATCTAGTTAGTCTCCCCTGTCATCTAACCTGGTATGACCCCAACTCTCCCATGCAATCATAATTCTTATTCAAGTTGAGTTACTAAATTTCAGGAAGAGAATGTGTAGAATATCTCAAAGAGTATGGCATTGATGTAAGCAGTTTGACGGATGAGCAGTTGTACCAAGGTCAACCTGTAGATTTGGGAGATTATACATTCTTAGGATTTATCTCAAAAACTAAGCTAAGGGCAGTGACGGAGACAACGCCACATCGTCGAGTGAAATATTACAAGAATGCATATTGTACAGAAATTGGATTTGGAGCACTAGCCAAAAAACCCATAACATTGATAGGTAAAGCCATCAAACTAGAAAACAGCAACTCCACAGAGTAGCAAATCCCACCGAACAAAACATGTTTTGATAAATAGTGGCAATCTTAAAAAAATTCTTCTTGAACAGAGCTCCTTTGTTAATGGGTATCCGTCCACTGGTATTTGAGTTATCAATTGTTACGTTCTTTACGAAAATGGCACCTATTTTGAAATCCAGTGGCTACCTTGGAAAAGCAAAGCTCTTTTGTCTCTAAGTATCAGCATATAAAATTTGAACCTAATCTGTCAACTGGTATTTGAGTTATCAAAGATTATTTCTTTTATAAAAAATGGTGGCCATTTAGAAATTCATAGGCCATCTTGAAATTCTCTTCTTGAGCAAAGTTCCTTTGTCCTTAGACAACACCAAAGTCAAAGATTACATTTTTTACAAAAAAAAACATTTTGAATTGAGCAGTCATGCTGAAAATTCCTTCTTGACCAGATGTTTTACACTCTTAAGGCATAAGCCTATAAAACTGGAATCAAATTCGAGAACTGGTATTTAAGTTATCAGCCGGACAGATAGACGAACAGACGGATGGACAGCTTCTCTATATTCCTTCATTTGGTTGGATAAGAAAAATGGTGTCCATTTTGACTTGAGCAGCCATATTGTAAATTCTTTCTAAGCAGATGTCTTACACATATAAGGCATTAGCCTATAAAATTTGAATCAAAACTGTCAAACAGTATTTTAGTTATCACCTGGACAGACAGCTTATGATAACAGATTAGACAATATTTGCATATGTGTATTTATACCTCCCAGTATATTCCATACACTAATTATTAATGAATCTTACTACTCATTGTAGGAAAATGGAATGGAACAATTCCAAAAGATGGAGGCTTTTTTACAGCTAGTTTCCTCATACCTAACAATGAATGTGGCTTCATGGAAGAGCCGGATATCATAGAAGGACGTGCTTTGTGGCCATTTTACATTGAGAATGGGTTTTCCTACTTTGGAATGGAAGTATTTTCCAGCAAATATGGGCATGGGACACTGATGGGTGTAGATATTCATATACCAACACTTGTTTCAGCAATAACAATACGTTTTACTGGTTAAATATAGTAGAGAGGTTTCGCACAACGTTTTTTAGCTCAACGTATCCGTATCCGTAACGTATTTACCAGATTTATGCGCAGTCCGTCCAATTTATACGTGCAGCAATACGGAAAACACGAAAAATGAGGCTTTTGTACGTTGGTCATTTACGCATCCCATTTTATCATACAATTACATTGATTTTAGTTCTAAAAGTATCACTGTATGAACAAACACATTGTGTTGTTCAATATATGACTTAGATTTGGTGAATGGATTTGTTTATTGTTTGACATAAATCGAGTTTTCCAAATGGTATGTTCAATTCATTTTACACTGTGTGGAATGGTATTACAATAATCACAGTGTAGTTGCTTCGCACAACGTTTCAGCTGCCCGTATCAAAATCCGTAACGCATAGATGGAGCAAATGTGGACTCAATACGTTTGTGTTATCGACTGCAATACCGAAAGTACGTAAAGTTGACACTTTTGTGCGTAGTTGTTTCCGCATCTATTTTTGTCCTTCAAATGTATATCAATTTCCCCTAAATGTTAAATTTAAGTGACCTACATAATGTTTAGTGTATATCGTGCTAATTTTGATGAAAGGAACCAGGCTTATTAGTCAACTAATTTGATTATGAGTGAGTGGCCTGCAAATCGTACTTATAAACAGCACAATGAGCCTTCAATATTCATCCATAGCGCGTGGACTGCTGAACATCATGTCTCAAGATCAAGAAAGCGCCAAAAAACGTGTTTACTTTAGACTCTAAGACGACTTAGTCTTAGTGCGTTCTTCCCTGGCAAATCCATGGGAGAATCCTCCCAATTGGGAGGCTGTTCGCCTCGACGTGTGTAAAAGTCTCCACGTTGATAGTTTACGAACTATTCGTGAGAGGATGGAACTCCTCATCAAATCGTTCAAGAGGGAGGACAGATTGCGGAAATCCAAGTAAGACGAAACGTTTTATGATCTTATCTCCCGGATTTAATCTTTAAAGTTTCAATATTCTTGTAGGTCATTTAGGTAATAAGTACATGTAATTATATCAATTATATCAATATCAAGTTAGCAATTGTATGATTGGCCATACACGTCTTCTTATCAGACAAGGCAATCACTGAATACCTAACGATAATTAATGCCATCATCTGTGTATATCAAAAACCCATGCACAATTAGCATGTTACACCTAAGCTGTCTTTGGCAGGGCCGTCAGATGGGGGGGGGGGGTTCTATGGATGCGACCGCATACCCCCTAGACAACATCTTATTCAGTCTTAATTTTTTTTGAAATTTGGAATGAAAATTCGCATTCAGTCTATTGGATATAGACTAGCACCCCCCCCCCCGATAAAGAAATTGTAAACTTTTCTAGAGGGAGTGGGCCACCCTCACACCCCCACAAAACAATTGAAGTTATTTTATACATTGTCTCAGACACTTTTAAAGTGCCCAGACATCATCAAATAGCTCCTTACTATAGTCAGCATTTAACACTTGCTTCCTCTCTAGCACCCCCACCTCACCTCCACCTCTTAGTATGTATCTAACAGACTGACTATAGAAGTCAGTCTGTTATGATGTACTACTGTCCTGTGGAAATTGCAGTGAAATTTTCTGCAAAAAATTATCAATTTGAGGAAGCATTAGTTAAAAAAACAACATTTTATCACTTCAATTAAGTAGTAAGGTACAATTAATTAAATGCAATAATAACACAACATATTAGGTGGAAATAAAGCTAGTTGAAGTAACAAATATGCAAATTAATTCACTCCCGCCATTTTGAATAGCCATTTTGAATATCACTTCCTATGTAAACAAATATTTTTTGTTAACAAATTTTAACATACTATATGTATAGTCTGAATATTATTCAGACTAAATAGGATATAGTCTACTCCCCCCCTGGTTCCCTAATTTACACCCCCCCCCCCATAAAAAAGTCAATGTGTCTTATTGAATCATACACTTTGAAAGTTCCAAGAAAGCACAAGATAGCATTTTAAAATTGTAACTTTTTCTAGGGGGACCAATATACAAAACAATTGAAAATTTTGAATTTATTTTATGTTTTTTTCTCAGATACGTTTAATGTTCACAGACACCATTTAATAGCACCTTGATATGGTCAATGTTTCTTGGAGACAACCCCTAGCTCCCATCTGGCACCCCACCTCACTCTCTGGCATCCCGCAATAAAAGATCATTTTATTGACTCATACACTTTGACAGTGCTCAGAAAGCACCAAATAGCATCTCAAAAGTGTACAATTTTCTAGGGGGAGCGGGCCACTAATCACGTCCCCATAAAACAATTTAAAAGCTTGGAAGTTGCATTTGTTCAATGCCAAGAATTAACATCAATAGCACCTTGATATGGTCAATATTTATTGGGGACAAACAATAAAGTGCCCAGAAAGCACCAAATAGCATATTAAAATCGTAAAATGTTCTAACGTAGTGGGCCACCCCACACATCCCACCAAAACAATTAGAACAATTCTGAATTCCATTTATTGTCTCAGACACTTTTAAAGTGCCCAGATATCATCAAATAGCACCTTCATATGGTCAATGTTTCTGGGGGACAACCTATTGCTTCCGATCCCCTCTGGCACCCCACCCTAGCTCACCTTCTGAACCTCTTTGACTCAATTCAATTTTATTGACTCATACACTTTGAACGTACCCAGAAATCACCAAATAGCATCTCAAAAGAGTAACATTTTCTAGGGGGAGCGGGCCACTCCTCACATCTCTATAAAACATTTGAAAAGTTTGGAAGTTGCATTTGTTAATTTAAACAGTGCCCAGAATTAACAAAGTGACATAATGAAATCATCAAAATTTGTGGCGACCCAACCCAAAACTCAAACATTCATTTACTCAACAGGTACTCTGAACACACATCAAAAGTTCTTCGAATTAACCGGTCAGTATCTTGAATTCGAACATGACTGTATTCACACCTTTTATGACGTCAACATTTCACCCGGGGTATATTCGCCAACAGTACCCCTGTTAATACGAGTAATGTGTGACCTCATAACGGCGGGCCGTAGTAATGGCGGAAATTTCAATGAATATTTGAAAAATGTTGGTGAATTTTCATGGTCGAAGTAATATAGACCTCAGAGCAGGTGTTGTTATATCGACGAATATACCCCGCAGGGCTAGGCACAAACGTTCTCTATACCCTGAACGACCGAAGGGAGTGAGGGGTTTGAAAGCTTTTGTGCCTAGCCCTAAGGGGTACATTCGAAGATATTTCTTAAATATCGAATATATCAAAAATATCGAAATTGCTTAGAACCTGGATAAACCTCACCCTGATGATTGAAAACTACTTGTCTAATTTCAATCGTGTTGGAATTGTAAACCTTATTCAATTACCTCTCCAAAAAGTAGGTCAACAAAATCGAGAACAACTTGACTTAAGGGTATTTTTGACATTCTGTTTTGATGCTTTTTCTATGAAAGGAAAATTGTTTGGTGCCAAAATGCTATAATTCTTAAAAGAATAGTCAATTATTGTTAAAATAAATCAAAAAATCAACGTCTGTCAAGCTTTTGTATAACTCAGCTATGCACTTTCAATTGAAATTCAATTGAACGCAATTGTATTGTCAGCAATTTTCCATTCATATTTGCAAATATAGTATTACAAATGCCACTCGGTGTTTCAGTTCGGCAGTAGACTAATACTTAACTTGGTAGATTCCGAATATTTTTGGTCCATGACTTAGCCAACCAACCACCAAGTAACGGCATATAAATCGAATTGGTGAAGTTGAAAAATTGGGAGAGGGAAAAAAGATCTGAAATTATGATCAGATAAATCGTTGCACAAATGTTCAGGAACGTGCAAAAATAATAGCTATTCATCAAGCAGTTTTTTGAAAAACTGTTATCTCTCAAATTCGGGAAAAACGCGACTCGCGAGTTCATGCTTTAAATAGTAAATAGTGGCTTGATCGGGGGTTTGATTTTCATGAAATAAGCATGTGGGAAAGGAAATTCAATATGCTGAGTGACTGTCTATCAGACACGCCATAAATAATGATCACTTTGCTTTTTCCACAGTATTAGGACAAGGCAACTATATCGACTTTCTGTTCATTGGCATCAAATTCCGATTATCATAAATATGATCTTCCTCAATCAAACTGATTTCTACGCTAAAATGTGTCATTTATGTGCGGCTCAAGCTAAAAATGAGGGATTCACAAAATAACGTGCATAAAAGAACTCATTAAAACAGAGGAGTCAATTTGACCACCGTTCTCCATTTGCAGACATTAGGGTCAAGCATGTATTTTCATAAATGCGCCTGAAAATTTATCTCGTCTTAAACTTAACGCTTTTAGATCTGGTACTGAAGAGGAATATGACGAGATGTCACAAATGTTGACTGAAGTGATTTCCCTAAAAGAAGATGTGGAAATGGAAAGAACAAAAACAAAAAAGAAGAAGGAAGAAGATCAAGAAAAAGATCAAAAGAAAGTGACTGAAATTCTAGAGAAGTCGATGAACACCCTTGGTAAACAAACGAAATCGCCTCAATCAAGCCCTTCTAAGAAACGACTCTGCAAAAGAGGTAAGACCCAAACAGAATGACAGAATTATTTAAAAATCTATACAATCTGGGTATTTATTGTTCTGCATTTAATCAAATTAATATGATATACGAACAACACATGCCGGTGTAAAAGGGTAGGAGGTCCTATCAAATTATGGTCCTACTCTCCATTGATTTATATGGTGACCTAATTACAACTCTTTCCCTTATTATCTTGTACACAATCAGGGCCAGTAAGGGCCGTTAGGAAAGGGGACCATAATCCCTGGGGGACCATAATTTCTTTCACAATCATGAAACACTATTCATCCTTTACAATTCAAAAGAAGTGTTTCAATGATTTTTTATCCAAATCTAATCACATAGGATAACATGCATACGTTTCTGTTTTATGTGTTGTAGGTAACTTCTTAGAGGAATACCTCACCAGGAAAATTGAACTTGAGGAGAGGAAATTTGCACTGGAAGAGAGAAAATGGAACGCAATGAATCCCAAGAAAGACTGATGATGTGGGCATACTGACATTAAAACGTCCGTGTCTGTAATTTTAATCCTAAATAGCCACATTTCAGTACTTACTTTAGTTCAAACATTTTTTCTCGATTGATTATTTCGGCAGCACTTTTGACAAGTAAAAAATCTTGTGCATACGGATTTGATGTTTACTTTAAAATTAATAGCACTTGTTGTCTAATTCAACAAGCCTTACAGATCAATGTTATCAGTAAAATATTCTGGAATGGAAAATTAGGATTAGACGTACATACTCATAGATGGAGACTTTAACATCAGTTTGATGTGTACTGTTTTAGTTACTTCTTTTTATTTGTTTTATTTGTCCTCATGGCAAGTTAAATTCATATTTTATTATTATGAACGCAAAAAGATGAAGGTACAAAATGTTACTTTTAAAAAGACTCATTCCTTTAAACGCACTGATCACCAATCATCTCAATCATTTAAATTAGCTAACTGCTAATGCTCCTCTTGTTCTAAATTTTGTTACGTATAAAAATGCTGTTTACTTGCATATAACATTTATTTTAATTATACATATACATATACATTATACATGTAGCACGGGTTGTGATCGAAAGATTTGTCCGCTATGTTGTGTCATGTTATTTTTCATAAAAACACTAAGAAAACGTCACAATTTTTTTGAGTCATATGCTTCGTTATACCAAAGAACCTCAACTTACCCTGTGCAATGGGTACACCATTTGCAAGTAACCTTTACTTTTGTTTGAACTACAATAACGCTAGGAGCAAAATCTATTGAAAACAGCTCTAGAGTATCATACTCTAAAATGTACCAATTATTTTCTAAATTTTCAATTGCACTGAACACAGTGACATGATAATATCGCATATGTTTTAACTTAACTATGGGGGTATTAAGAGATCTAGTATAGATGAATTTTAGTATTTTTAATTTGTTCTATTGAAAAATGATGTCTAGATTTTTGTCCTCTATGGAGGACTAGTTGCAAATGTGAGATGCATCAAAGTTCCCAATATATTACTTTTACAGCTACACTTTAGGAACGATTTGATTTTGGGAGGGAGGTTTGATACGTTTTCTCTAAAGTGTAGTTCAAAAGATATATTATGAATCTTAATGTACTTCACATTTGAAACTGTTCTTCCATAGCGGTCAATAATTTAACATTATTTTTTATTAAAATAAATAAAAACGACCCATTACATCCAGATCTCATTAATACCTTCAGGGTTATGCTGAAGATATGGAAATATTATCGTATCACTATATCGTGCCATTAATAAGAAATGATACATTTAGAGTTTGATTTTGTCGTTTCCAATAGCTTTTACTAGCGTCATTGGACGTCAAACAGAAGTTAAGGTTACCCGCTACTGATTAATCTCATTGCACGGAGTAGGTGAATTTCTTTGGTATAATGAAACATGTGAGTTAAATATAAATTGTGAAGTTTTCTTGGTGTGTTTTAGAAAAATAGCATGCTCCACCACAGCGGACAGATTTTTCGATTCCAATCAGCGATATGGTGTTTTTGCAATAATAAAGTTGTTTAATTATCAATTGTTTTAACAGTTGACAGTTTTCTATGATTGTTCATGTTTAGTCTCAAAATGTTTGGTTTGTTACACAATCATGTTCATCTATGAATGTAGTATTCAAGTAACAGAGGTTCAGTGTTAAAGTAAGTATTCACTTGACTACCATAAAGGCATGTATGCACATTGGTTAAAAAAGCTCCATTTTTGTAATACTTAGCTATTGGAGATAAAAGTATTTTGAGATTCTTTTTAAAGTCCAAAAAAGCAAATTCCCTGATGATTTTTCCGAAACCCCATTCAACGCTTTCCCTCACAGAACTCATACTTCTATTGAATTGGGCCTGTTGAGGGGTCACATCGGGTCCTCTAAATGGGGTAATAAGATGGGGAGTTCGGGGGTACGCGGGGTCTCCATAAATCGACATGGGTTCCCCGTTCGGCAGGCTTTTTGTTTCAAGTGCATCCAGGATATTACTGCGACGCAGCATTGAGGCATCGTGCCGGGACCCCTCAACAGGCCCATACAAATTTGTAATAATGCCATTGGGTAATATGATAGACTGAAATTTAAGACAGTGTTCCCTTTTATGCCCACTGTAGAAATGACGCTGCCCTTCCTGTGGACGAGCACATGGTCTTGGAGTCCCATCAATAAAACCGTAACAGTTTATAAGAGGGGCATCTTTAGCCTGAATCGCGCGAGCATATCGTTGTAAATCTGGAATGGTCATCCATGGCTGGTTAAACTCTGTTAAAAGAGGTCCAAAATGTTCATACACGTAGTTGTTCACTGTGTTTATCAAAATCGAAGTTGTCGACAGATCCATACCAAACATCCCATTGATGTCCCACAGTCGATTTGGGTACACAAGACGGCGAAGTAAAAGGCACAAGCCCTCGATGCCACTACACGAACATCGGTTATAACCAGTGAATACGTTTGGTAACTCCATGACCTGAGATATCCTGAATAGATCATCTTTTTCAAATCGAAACAAGAGACTGCACTCTTCATTTGATAGACTTTCCAGATTTATTCTGAATGCGTTAATACCATCACGCCTATCTTCCTCAAATAAGTGATATAGGAGGAGTGTTTCCTCGTCATCCTTGTCATCAATAATAGCGGCCGCGGTGACTGGGTCAATGCCTGCCATATGTACAGTTGTCGAAGATCACACTACTAGAATGAAATAAAATAGTGAATTAGGCTAACTACTATTACCCCATGGTTACAATGATATAGATCGAATATTACTTGAAAATATAATTGATATTTGGATCAGGATATCATATTTTAGCAAGGAATTCCCAAACAATCGAATATCACTCCTTAAAAAGAGGCAAAGCTGGTTGAATGGGGTATGCTATTTAGGATTGGTACTGAATGGGGATGGGACTGCTGTCAACGTATCTATAGTTCGTCAGTATAAATACCTCGAAGTTATATTGTATACCATAGAAAATATAGTCTGGTAACATGCATCCTTGGACTATATATCCCGGTGTAAAAGGGTAGGAGGTCCTATCAAATTATGGTCCTACTCTCCATTGATTTATATAGTGACCTAATCACAACTCTTTCCCTTATTATTTTATACACAATCGGGGCCAGTAAGGGCCGTTTGGAAAGGGGACCATAATCCCCAGGGGACCATAATTTCTTTCACACCGGGACTATATATTCAGGGAGATTATAGTATATTCACTCTTGACACAGGAAATGATCCAGAGTTTTTTCTTCCAATGTTATCCCATGTTTAGAGACAGAATGTACTATTATTCTATGTTCACGAAATGATATGAGGGGCAAAATAACATAAATCGATATTGCCAAATTACACGACATGAGTGAACAAAATCTTACCTTTTTGAGAAGATATAACTGTTGTGTTACTTCCACAGGAAATGAATGTTATTGTCAAGGTCACGGCTTGAGATACGTTTTGTGGATTACGTGCTAAAAAAAACGTACTGCGAAACGAAAATTTTCGAATAACGTATCCGTAAACGTAACGAGATACGGATGCGGATACGTTTTAGCAAACCCGTTGTGCGAAACCTCTCTATTGTACAAATACAGGTTTACATGGTGAGAAAAATAACTGGTCAAGAGCATTGTAATATGATCGACATGTAATTATGCATGGTGTATAATGTGTCTCCCAGATGTTTAACTTTGTCAGAATCGATCTGACAATAATTTGAGTTATTGCTTCATATTACTATTTTAGATTTCAATATACCACACCTATACAAAAAGTTCAAGCAATAACTTAGTGTGACCATCTTTGTGGTTATAACAACATAATATTAACAAGGCATTAACATGTTAAAACAATACCATGGGCTTTCAACTAGTCTAATTGAAAGCCCCCCATGACAATACTTACCACTGTTGGATGGTCAGCTACATATCCATCTGGTTTGAAACTCCTCACCATTCCAGCAATAGGGTAGGAAAGCCCATGACTGTAAAAGAAACACAAGTTAACTTTACTCACAATTCTCAGGCATTTTCAATACTCATCCTACTTTAAATATACCATCCTCCGATCACAGGGCTTCAAAATCCAGAATATATTCTTTCTTTTTACCCCCTGCGATAAGCAGTTAGCATTTCTCCGATTAAGAACTCGCAATCTGATTGGCTGTCACAACACTGCGTCATTGCGCATAATTAGATCACGTGATTCAGTTTAATCGGGCGCCTCCAAATTGGTTATAGCAGGGGGAAGAAGGAGGTACGGATTCTGGATACCTGCCTAGGAGGATGGAAATATACTAGAAGATTGAGGTGAGGTGAGGAAAATCAATGGCTGTGTATGTACCTATCTACTATCAGACTATGTTTTGAATTTTGACCTTTAAAATAGTGGCATTAACCTTCTCAAAGACACTTAATCTTACTCATACATTGCAAAAAGTATCAAAACTCATATATTGGCCTATGCTCTACCAGATGAATTTGACGTAGAGCAAAAATATGTGATACCTATATCAGCCTGGCTGTAAGAAAATTGGGTCATATAACATAATTTTTTCCAATACATTTGACCTCAGTGAAAATGTTTCATGGAAGGACAGTACATATTTTTGTTTTGAATTTTGTTTCCTCTCTCTTTCTTTTATCTTTTTTTTTATTTCAAAGAAAAATCATGTTAAAGCAATTGCAAAAAACAAACAAGCTTTTCTTTCCATGAGGCTTAATGTTATTCATATCTACCAAAGTGACCTTGATGCTTTCCCATAAAATAAGTAGATGTTCCCAATAGTCAATTAACTTTCCTTTCATCTCCACTGGCCTTCTATATACCATAATCAGGCCCGTAGCCAGAATTTTCCAAGGGGGGCTCACTTTTCCGAAAAATTCTAGGGGGGTTCACTTTGGTAAATTTGGCCAAAAATCGCTCGTCAGAATGGTGAAAAACGGCATGATTTTGAAAGAAATTTTGGTCAGGGGGGAACTCGAACCCCCGAACCCCCCCCCCCCCCTGGCTACGGGCCTGATAATAGCTTATATGAATCCCGATATGAATCAAGAGCCCCTGTGCATCCACCCATTCATGCTACTATTGGAAGAAAAGTAATAACTGGGGAAGGGGGCAGATATGATACAGGACTAGGATTTTATTTTAGATTTTTTTACCATTTAATTGATAAAACGTTTCACGAGCAGTGCAAGGACATACCATAGATGTACTCCAGCATTACCGAAGCCTATTCCAGCTATAGTACTGGCCAAATGCATGTTAGACCTGGCCTCCATATCATCTGCATTGTACACACCTCTGAAACACACATTATACATAAACATCAGGCCCATAGCCAGGATTTGCAAAGGGGGGGGTTCAGTTTTCAAAAATTTCAAGGGGGTTCACATTTGTCAATTTTGGATCAAATATGGCTGAGATCACTTGAGAAGTGCTCAAAATGGTGAAAACTGCATGATTTTGAAAGAAATTTTGGCCAGGGGGGGATTCGCCCAAACCCTGCAAACCCCCCCCCCCCTCCCCTGGTTCCAGGCCTGAGCATGTTCATACATCTATGGTAAGGTAATTACAAAAGCATCCTTAAAACAATACATCCCCAGCCAGCATAAATCATGAATAAAATGCTTTCTAGTTAATTTCTTACCCCAAAAGCTTCCAAATCTCAGAAACAACTAACAATATAAATATTATTGTATGCGCATGCATGGCCACATTTTAAGAAATCAACCATTAAAGTTTGAATTCATTAATGCTAGATTGTTATTACTCTACAATGGAATTTCTAGAGGAAACCAAAAACTGACAGCAGAACTGAATTTAGTATGATTGTACGACTAAATTGATGTTACCTTAAAAATTATGATAACATGATGAATATGCCTTACAATATCATTGATAAACATATTCTAGGATGTCCCCTTTTTCTCTTAGCTATACATTTGAGGAATTCGTGTTGAGAAATAAAGTTGAACCTCCTTTAAAAAGATCTTTAAATTCTTTTCCCTGAAGAGTGAGGAATGGTTTTAAAGCAGTGGAGAAACTCACGCAATATTCTACAGCAAATATTTTGCAAAACTTCATGTGAGTGACTCACATAAAAATAATTATTTCCTGTTAATTTTGAACATTACCTCTTGAAATACTTTGAAACGATTCTCAGTGCATGTTTGGACCATATGTCACTGATTGGATTACTGCCCTGGTATGCTGGTCTTTCTTTTGGGTCCAATGGACGAGGAGTACGCTCGTTGAATGGAAGAGCTGTGTAAGACTCTAAAGCATGGCTGTAAATAAACGAAACATTTTAATAAACTAATATCATAAGGGTGATGTAGTAAATCACCTTTTGGACTTCCCACCATGACAGTGCATAGACCTACAGTACATATAAGGTTCGAGGTACATGTAAATAGGGATATTATTCATTCTCTAACCTTAATACATGTAAATAATCATGATGAAACATCCAAAATATAACTGAGATCATAAAGTAGGAAAGGTGTGTTGAGTTTTAAATAGTTAAATTATTCAATCTACTTTGCCCACCCTACCCTTATGAACATTATTTTGAAATTTGTGAGTAAACATCTACGAAGAAATCAGGAATATAGGCATCAGTTCTGGTGTAATAAGAATGAACAAAGGGCAATATTTGAAAAAACACAAACCCCTAAATATTTACCAACCATATTAAATCAATACAGAACTATTTCTTAATTGAGCCCAATTTTAAATATACAATATACATAATTTACCATAGCACATCAAATCCACTGTATGCAAAAACCCTCTCTGGCATGTATCTTGTATGTAGGGGGTCAACAATACCCAGTAAGGGACGTATGGCGCGGTTAGCAATACCAGTCTTGGCCTTCATATCTTCGAGATCAAACACAGCAACCCCTGTGGTCTCACTACCAGTTCCTGATGTAGTGGGGACTGAAATACAAAGGGACATCTAAAAGGTCTTTACTCTAAAAGTCCTGTGGTCATGAAGGTCAACACTTACATATAACATGTCAAAATAGTAGGTTACTGGCAACTCTATATTCTTCAGGCCCGTAGCCAGGATTTGCCAAGGGGGGGTTCAATTTTCAAAGATTTCCAGGGGGGGGTTCACATTTGACAATTTTGGCCCAAATATGGCTAAAATCACTTGAGAAGTGCTCAAAATGGTGAAAACTGCATGATTTTGAAAGAATTTTTGGCCAGGGGGGGGTCGCCCGAACCCTGCGAACCTCCTCTGGCTACGGGCCTGTTCTTTGTCATTCTCTCATTCTCCCATGGTAATGCAAGATTGATTCTTGTTTTATACTACCACATAGTTTACTTTACATATGTGAGAATTCAAAATAAATGTGCTTTTATAGGACAAAATGACTGGAAAGAAACTCAGAAATTCCATGTTACTGATCTTTTAAGAAGACTCGAAATACTCACTTGCTAACATGGGATTGACTTTATGTGTAACAGGAAGTCCCTTCCCTATTGGAGCATTAACATAATCCATAAAGTCAGCATCTGGTTTAGAGGCATAGAGATTGGCTGCTTTACAAGTGTCCATGACAGACCCCCCTCCCACTGCCAGATAACCATCATAGCTACCAGCTCTACAGAATTCTATGGCATCTTTAAAACTGAAATATATAAATCAGTGGGTTATATTTGGGGTTAAAATGCAAAAATTGAAATATATAGATCAGGGGTTACATTTGGGGTAGAATACAAAGGTGAAATATATAAATCAGGGGTTACATTTGGGGTAAAAATACAAAAATTTAAATATTTAAATCAAGGGTTACACAAGAAAACAAAGAAAAGAAAATCAAGCAATTTTAAGTGGAATTCCAACATTATTTTCTTAACAGATTGCCAATGCTAATTCCATTTGTTTTGGTCAAAACTGTTTATATTTCATACTTCTGACAGGATGTAAATCAATTTTAAACAGGGTGGCATAGAATTCTCAATTTTTCAACAATTTGAGGCACCCAGTCCCTCTATATGCTGCATAGAGAGATCACTCATATCACACCATTGATTTAATTAATTAATGTTTTTTAATTGGACTGTCTTTCATGTACCTTTTATCAGATGGCTCTACCCTGGTTCTATCGTAGATGTCATAGTTGACATTGTTTTTATTGAGAGAGTCGAGAACTGCACTGTGGATAGGAGTTGCTTTTATTCCTTCATCTGTGAAAAGCACGACCTTCTTGCACCCAAGGTTGTTGAGGTCCTATGATAACACACAAAGTTAGTTCATTCATTCACATCCGGAGGCTTGTGTATCTATTGACCTGTTTAAGAGGAACAATTTTGGTCCCTCTAGAAAGTGTTTCACTTTGAAGTGATCCACTCACAGAGGTGTTCCAATTTACAGGTTTTACTGTATATTATTAATTTAATTAGTGAAATGGTCTAACTTTATATGTCTCTTTCATGTCATTGTAAACACTTTTTTACAAAAACTTGAAATAAATATAACTGGCACCGATCATATCTTACCATTCCAACTTCCTGTGTCACTCCCTCTCCATATCTTATGTTGGACATTGCCATCTGCAAGAAAAAGAGATGGGGGTCACATGAAGTAAAATGTACATTTTCAATCAATCTAAAGTAGGGAATATCATCATTTACAGGAGATCAAGTAATCTCCAAGTTCAAGGCATGTCATTTTGAAATGGAACAAGGATAATATTCACTGGTGTGAAAAAGCAAGAAAATTGCAACAATTGAGAAAATGGGTCAATTCCTTGACCTTTGTCATGCCTTTGCATTTAAGTAACATAAACATCTAATTGTACCTCAAACGCATACTCCTTTGAGCTAGAATCAGGTGCTGCGCTGGTTGCATGATGCTTGCTACTGCACACATGGGCGCCTGAAACAGAGACACATCACTATAACAGAGACACATCACTATAACAGAGACACATCACTATAATAAAACAGGAATACATGTAAAACTGTGAAGTGTTGAACAAATGAGAAGTATGCACTTATATACGAGGTATTAACATACAAAATGTCACCACCAGCCATTTGTTACAGATACTGAACTCTGAACACTGACCACCAGACACCAAATGCCAAAGACCAACAGCCAACCATGAACACCGCCCACAAAAAATTGGAGACTATCACAATTTGTCACCACTTCTGGTGATGACACAAAAGAGAAAGTATTAGGTTTTGTGTGATACATGTATTTTGGTCCTTAATTTATGAATAAGAGGAGAAAGATTATTATGCTACATGTATGTTCTAGTAGGTGAATTATTTTGACATAATTGTTGCTAAGATATTGAATATAGGGTACTTTATTATGTACAACATTTTAAGAATATGTAAGGTGACATATTACAATGAGTGAACGGGTTCTCTGCTTCAAAGTCCATTTCCAAACTTAACATGTCATGTAAATCTTGTTATTTAAAACTCAGAACCAAGCATTAACAACAAATAATTTATCTGTATATAAACAGTGACATATTAATCATTATGATCCAATTGCCATACAAACAATCCAGCAAACAAACAAACAAACAATCCAGCAAACAAACAAACAAAACAATGGGGAAAGCAATTACATGAAGCATAATACCAGTAAAAAAGCCAGTAAAAATAATCTGATACAAGTGAATGTCAAAACAATTGCAAAGTCATTTTAACACCCTAGATTATTATGCTATGTTCTAGTAGGTGAATTACTAGATGGATTCCACTTCAAAATGTACTGGGTGTTCGAGAGTTGTTATCCATAAGTCAACAACCCATCTACTAGAGTAATCTGGATCTGATGATGGAGACTAAAGAGTCATGACATGGACTTAATACACAATTTTATACCTATTGTACATATTTCATAATTCTGAACAATACTATGGTACGACTTTACGTCTTTGTTGTACTTATTGTACTTCTGTATTGCAATTCTGTATTTTACTTCTGTACCAAATTTGGGCACTATACTTCTGTACTGTACATCTACACTGTACTTTTTGTATAGTGCTGTGCCTCTGTACTGTACTATATTTTACCTCTATACTGTAATGTACTTCTGTATTGTACTTCTGTACTGTACATCTACACTGTACTTTTTGAACTGTGCTGTGCCTCTATACTGCACTATATATTACCTCTGTACTGTAATGTACTTCTGTATGTACTATATTTTACCTTTATATAATGTACTTTTGTATTGTACTTCTGTACTGCACTATATTTTACCTCTATATTGTAATGTACTTCTGTGTTGTACTTCTGAACTGTACATCTTTACTTACCTGGTAATGCAGAACTAAATTTTTGTGAATGATGTGGACACTTGCAACTGAAAATATAAAGGAACAATTATAAAAAATTAGAATTATATTAGTAAGAATATAATATCATTCATTTTCTGCATGCATGCTTTCTCCTCTCCAATACTGAAAAGCGATTGAGGAGCTACTTTTGTAATATATTAGTGAAACAAATAAATTGAGTAAATAAATAAAAAAAAATCCTGCATGCAATTTACAAGCTGGTATATCTCTATCTACATGTACAATCCTCCCTACAGTTCAATATAAGTGCTCATAATTAGAGGTTATGTCACTATCGTGGCATATATGCCCGAGGTCTCAGTGATATATGGCCCGACCTTGGGAGGGACATTGATCTCTGAGAACCGAGGGCATATGTGCCACGATAGTGACATAAACGATTTAAAACATACCTATGATGATGTAGACTAGTCAGAGAGTACCGTTTTCTTATAGAATTGACAAACAAATGGTTTGAAAATGATTGAAATGAGTTTAGAAAAATTGCTCGCGCAGTTTTATCTTCGATTGATTGGTTATGACGTCAGCGCCTTGACCAATCAGAAAGTTAGCGGGCGCGGGCTTTTCACAACTTATATTGGCCCGCTGTCTTGTATACACTTTGCACTATACATCATCATAGGTATGTTATAATTATCACTTATCATATGTCTACAGTGATGTTGTTTGCTTATTGCATAGAATGGACATAACTTACCATTGACCATTGACATTGAGAGTAAAGCAAGAATCTGTTATCTTATCTTTTTGTTAATAGCAAGATTCTAGAAACTAATGAACATGCATTGTCTAAAACCTAAACTTGCTTATCTGGATTTTTCTTTAGCCCCCTTTATTGAAGCCATGAAACATGAAACATACCTTTCAGAAAAAGTAAAATATAGCATCGGTTTCTGTGATCTTGTGGTAAAGAACTCATAGATATGGATCTGTGATATTTAAGGCAGTTAATCAGGGTCTAGAATGATAATATAATAGACTGACAGTCTAATATAGCAGTATTTAGAATAGATAGTGCTCGCTGTGTAATTTATTCACCTATTGACTAATGAAGAATACATGTAAGCTTTCAAGCACAGTCAGCAGGCGCGTAACCAGGCATACGCGAGGGTACGCAGTCGCGTACCCTAAATGATTGAGCAAAAAATAAATTGTTTTAAAAAATAAAAAAAGTAAAGCAAAATAGTTTGTTTCATGGCTGTTGTTGGTTCTCCCCGTCTCTACCGCAACAGCTGAATGCAGCTTCACCCTTACGGAAATTTACTGGCTCCCGCAGCCTGCTGCCGCAGCCTGCTGCTGCAGCGCTCCCGCAGCCTGCTGCCGCAGCGCTCTCGCAGCATGCTGCCGCAGCGCTGCGGCAGCACATTGGAATTTATCATGCAAATTAGGCTGCCGCAGCGCTGCCGCAGCATGCAAATTAGGCTGCCGCAGTGCTGCCGCAGTGCTGCCGCAGCCTGCTGCCGCAGCGCTTCCGCAGCATGCAAATTAGGCTGCCGCAGCGCTGCCGCAGCATGCTGCGAGAAGGCTGCAGTTAACCGCAGCACTGTCGGAGCCATTTCACTCTGGGACTTGAGCTGCGGTTAACCGCAGCAATTGCAGAGAAGGCTACCATTGGCCTGAGGTATTTTAGGGGGAGGGGGATTGAAAACATCTCACCCAATATGATGGATGCCTATCTCTTCCATTATAGTTGCATCAATGGGAAAATATTGACAATAAATAGGTAATACTCTATTAATTCTTAGCTAACAAACAACTAAAATAATTATCACGCAAATTAGAGAGAATTACATTAATAAATACATAGGTGTTCATAATAAGGAATTGTTACCATTCAACGCTCATGTAGAATATTGACTGATTATAAAATGAAAATTACATTGTAACAACAAGGTAGTGTTAGATGAGAATTATCAGAGTATTACCTATTTATTAGCTATATTTAAAACCTTTTTCTTGCATTACTCTTACCCATTATGCATTATTGTCTACAAAATTCATTTTCTACTATACGAACCCAAAACATCAAATAATATGCAAAATTGGGTAGGGACACACAAATTCGAAGTATCGTGAATATTCAAATCTGGCCATGCAAAGCGTACTAATTAAGGTAAAGTCCAAAGTTTTTTCAAAATTCTCTTGCAAAAACTACAGATTTTGTCAAAAATCTCCAATAAAAGTACCACTTTTTGCAGAATTTACCACAAAAACTATTGCTTTTATTAGAAAAAAATTTGAGATAATCTGCTTTTTTTAAAAAAGTACTGTTTTATTTCAAATCTACCATAAAAACTTCAGTTGTTTTAAAATTTACCTCAAAAACTCCCGATATTTAAAAATCTACGGCGAAAACTACCAATTTTTTTAAAAACTACCAGATTTTGGAAAAATCTCCCATAAAAGTACCACAATTTTTGGAAATCTCACGCAAATTGTTCATTTTAGGATGGCCCGGGACGTAAGACGATATAAGCAATTATTATGGGACATCACTGGTGATTTTACCCATTCAGAATTGTCCTGAAGGCCAGAAGGCTCCAGTTATTGAAGGACCCTCTATGCCTCCAGCAGTATTTATCTTCACAATCTTTATAAAATACCTTATATTTTTACTGCATGGTACAATCCTCATACACAACACATTTATGCTTGACCACTTTGACTGTATGAATAGAATTAAAATTTAGCCTTTATAAATACACAAAGAAAATGAGATTTGCCCATCTAAACTGGAATAACACAGCAATACTTACATTTTATCTCTCACAAAATAGACATGCAGAATGTTCAAGTATGTCAGTAACTTCTGAATCTATATTTGATTGGTCATTTTCATACTATTATTATAAAATCATAAAATTACCCAAATCTCTTACAGTTGAACATTCTTTGTCAGCCATCTTTCTTTTGGTATAAAAAGAGCGGGAAAATACTGCAGCCCTGTCGGAGCCAGCTCCGAGAAGGCTGCAATTAACTGCAGCGCTGTCGGAGCCAATTCGCTGCAAATATGATGCTGCCGCAGCATCATGCTGCCGCAGCGATTGGCTGCAATTACCTGCATCCAACATTTGGAGCCAATTTGCTGCGGCAGCGCTGCAGCAGCGCTGCCGCAGCAATGTATTTCCGTAAGGGTGAGGCGTCTCAAGACTTATCTCAGATCAACTATGGGACAAACCCGTTTAAGTTCACTGGCATTGATGCATATTCACAAAAACTTTATTCTCGATAAGCGTGAAATTGTAACAGAGTGGGGGGCAAGGGCCCCCTGCCGTTTACGCCAAATGCATTTGTTTAAAAGGCCCCATATAAAATTTAAACCACTTTGGGGTATATTACACTCCCCTCCATAAGTTTGGCAACCTTAGCTCCGCCATTGAACTACGTGTTAAAGCCTCTTTACATTTGAATTTTTCGATTTATTTAACCTCCGATGAAAAATACTTATAATATTGATCGAACGTAACTTGATTTAATTTCCAATACCTCCTTGCTTAAAACAACATAATATGTACGGCAATATGCGATTATTGTCGTTCAAGTACTTTGTTAATTCTTGAATTATAGATTGTATTTCAAATCCTATCTATATCAGAACAATAGAACTTCAATTTAACTATTACATTGCTGGCGCAAAAGTACAAGATCAGTATAATAAAACTGCTTATACAATCTCTGTCTCTTTTCAAATCATAACAGAACAATATTTTTACGTCACTTTAGAACAAGCTCAATCAATGAGGATCAGCTTAAAACGAAAAAAGGTTGTCCTCGTATCAAAATGGATCTCCTATTCAGTGGCGGATCCGGGGGGGGGGGGGCATGGGGCCAGCCCCCCCCCCAAGTTGGGCCCAGAGAAGAAAAAAATTGGGCCCAAAAAAGTGGGGTTTTTGGTCATTACTAGGCCTTCTAAGGCCTTATTTTTTAATTTCAGGCCAAATTTTTGAAGAAAATGGGCCTCAAATTTGGGCCCACTTTTCGGTTTTAGGGGCCCAAAAAGTTGTTTTCTATGACCAGAAATGTGCCCCCCCCCCCTTGTTGATTCCTGGATCCGCCCCTGCTATTCGTAGAAATTTTCATTTTCGCCATTTACCCACTTCATCATTTTTATTTAGTCTCCATTTCTCGAACATAAGTGACGAATGATGATATCATGTTAATGGGCAATAATTTGTCATGTGTGGTTTTATTTTACATGTATCACGAACAATGTATACAATCAATAGTGCCCCATTACATAGTCTGATATCGCTCAGAACGCACCATTTAAGGTCTAAAATCAAAAAATTTCTGGTGGAGCATGCCCCCGGACCCCCCTAGTTTTGCTCGGCCTTCGGCCTCGCGTACACACTCCCAAAATCCTGGTTACGCCGCTGGTCGGTATGCAGTTTTGATTTGGGCCAAGCCCAAATCATGAGCTATACTTTACTTCTCTCCAAGTTCAATAAGGAAATTGGGAAAGAAGGAAGGTAGACCCATGGGCTTTCAATTAGAAAGCCCATGGGCTTTCAATTTAGAAAGCCCATTGGTAGATTAATGATTTGTGTATTTTTCAATGACTTTTTTGATACAAATTTGACCAAACAAGCGTCACAATGAACAATATTAGCAGCATTATAACACACAGATGCATATAAACAAACAAAAAATTGGTATGGTTATGACAATGATTCATAAACTCAGTTACAAGAAAGCTTCTCACATTTCTACAGCAAAAAGGGGGCGTGGCAGGACATATATAATTTTTTTACCAGCTATATAAACAAAGTTTTGCATTCCATAGACCGAATAACATTACTTATTCTTGAATAAAGGCTATTTTGTAGTACTTTATACACTATGTTTTTATATCAATTTTAAAATCGTACTTACGAAGCAGAAGAAATCAACCTCATAAGTTGAGTGACACTTTCTCGAGCAGCCATCGTTATTTTGAGGGAACACCAAGTAGTCACGTGACTTGGAGGGAATTCCCACTGAGTAGCAATAATCCTTCAGTAGAAGTTTGCATCATTAGTCTACATTCAAAATGTTAGTTTGTCTTCTTCCCATTGAGTTAACTATTTAGCAATGAGATTAGCTATACAGTGACTGGGGGGGGATTTAAATCTTCCTGTACCTGTGGTCCCAAGCACTTGCAGGATAAACTTCATTGTGTTGATAACTAAGTGTGATCTTTGACGGTACGTGCTGGATGGTTATCATCAGATGAATGAATATCAAAAATGTTGATGAATGTGATTGATTGCGTCATGCAAGTTTAGTCATTGATCTTGTCATGGCAAAGCCCGTGATCTTGTCAATAATGATTTTACAGTTTCGATATGATAAGTTTTGGTTTATAGCACATCATAGGTTCTGGGTCGATATAAAGATGGCAGCACCAACAGAATCCAGTATTATCTCTTTCTCCCCAGCTCTTTTTCTTTGCCGGGCATCAGAGTACCGGACATAAGAACAGATCTACTCTTATGCCCGGCATAAGAACAGATCTACTCTTATGTCATCTTTATTTAAAAATTATTTGTATCGACTTTAGCCTATGTAGCACATGTATCTGTGTCGCTATGCGTGCTGGTTGTGACCTTTTCCACTTTGAGCTTTCACACCCTATGCAGACAGATCGCCTAAAATTACATTCGTATGCTGCGAGACTCGACATTCACCAGGAAAGTAGAAACATTTTGTCACCCATGAAGCAAATTAATTTGTTACTGCTTAATAAATGGTCAAGGACAGTTACTTCTAAAAGTATGAGATTGAGAATAGCATGACGTCTTGATATTTCAAGGTAACTCGTTCGAAAAGTGATGGCGGTGATCGAAATTAAATTACGATGTAAAGATAAAACCGTAATGAAATATTAGTAGATTTCTTTGAAAAACTAAGAAATATACATCACATATCGAATTTTTCAAAACAGAAAAAACATATATAAAAAGTAAGGCCTGCTGGTCAGATTCCCCCTGGTAGCATTAACATTGGTCTAATACATGTCATACAATTAATATTTGAAATACAACTATCATTCGAACTTATGATCGGACATAAGTATTATTTTACTTTATTAATATGGTATTGAAGTACACATCATACTTATGTCCGATCATACGTTTGAATAATAGTTGGGTTTCAAATATTAAAATGTTTGACTTAATGTTAATGCTACCAGGGGGATTCGGACCGTCACACCTTACTATTTATACATGTTTTTCCGTTTTGAAAATTTCAATATGAGATGTATACTCCTTAGTTTTTCAAAGAAATCTACAAATATTTTTTGCGGTCTTATCTTTACATCGTCATTTCAACCGTCATCATTTTCGAACGAGTTACCTTGAAATATCAAGACAGTATGCTATTCTCATACTTATAGTACTTAATATGACGACTGTCATTCATCATTTATTAAGCAGTAAACTATTAATTTGCATCATGGGTGACAAAATGTTTCTACTTTCCTGGTGAATGTCTCACATCCTACGAATGTAATTTTAGGCGATCTGTCTGCATGGGGTGTATTAGAACATTCATAGTTATGAACTACAGTACCTGAAGACGGAGCTCTCTTAAAATTAAGAAGTGAGGTCGAACGAATGCAAAGGGTAGGCTGATTTAGACAGTGCGTTTTTCGTTTATGTTCTTCAAATATAATGATGCCCTTTGAGTCTTCGTAGTTGAATTGGCTAAAACTACCACATGCAAATGTGATCATCTTCATTCCTGTGACCTAAAGTCGAAGACTTAATTTTCAGATTTTCGAAAAAATATAAGAATATATATTCGCGAATGCAACTCAAAAAGCTGTCTGCTACCGGATTAACCTACTATGAGCAACTCAAATGGATCTGAATGGCGCCAGAGTATCATACTCTAAAATGTACAATTTCTTGTTTTACTTTTAAATGGCACGATGTAGTGACATTATAATATTTATATATGTTTGCACCATAACTCTGAAGGCATTAATGAGAATTAGATATTGATTATTTTTTTATAAAAAAGTGCTCTATCAAGCTGGACAAAAAAATTAAATATTTTTCATAAAAATATTTCAGACTATGATATACTCTGGCGCCGTTTTCAATAACTTTTACGCCTAGCATTATTCAAACAGTAGTGAATGTTATCCGCAAATGATATACTCATTGCATGGAGTAGTTAATTTCCTTTGGGATAACGAAACATATGAGTTAAAAATAATTTGTGAAGTTTTCCTAGGATGAAGAAATTAAATTAAATTATTTCTTCATCCTAGAGTTTTCTTAGTGTTTTTATGAAAAAGAGCATGCTCCATCAAGCTGGACAAATTTTTCGATGACAACCCGTGTATAGCGATCACCATGACTATCCAGAGAGTTAAGTCAGGTGTTTGGGAATGAAATGTTTTTATCTTGATGATAATATATTCAAGTCTACACTGTAGAATAAGTTTTAATCAATCTTTAATTTTAAGCGATGATGATACATTGTTTCGTTAATGGAGTTTGATTCCTTTCGTTTTATGCTACATATGTAGAAGCATTGACGTAGCCAGGAAGAAAAAGCGACGAGGCCAGATCCTGCGACGAGGCGAAAAATATTTCCAAACCTGTTAAACGAGCGTTGGCAAGCGCCTTGTCTGTTTGCCTCACCCTAGCTACGCTAGAGAGAAATACATAATCTCAATATTTTCTCATTAATGCTGAAACAGGTCACACTGACCTGTGATAATATACAAATATGATAAAAAATAAATATACATTCATCAAAAAATAAGTTACATTCTGAGTGTTGCTCAGTAATTTCAATTCTCTGGTTCGCAGAAGAAAACGCCAGATGAACAATTAGTGAAATTTAAATATTTTCCGTGCAGGTCAATATTTGATTGACAGCTCAATTTTTGCACCTTCCATATTTGGAAGTGAAATTGATGGCCTATGTTAAAACTCCAAGGTCAAGCTGATCTGGTCACTCTATAAACCAATTCAAAAACTGAATTTCTAATTGAAATTGATCAATTCAATCTTCATTTTTACCAGCTAAAACATATTTAAAGAAAAAATTACCTTTCAAATCGTCCTCGGCTATCCAATATCAGTTAATATGAAAAGTTTTATCTTTCTCTATTTTATTTGAAAAGAGGTTTTTGCAGTATTTTGTTTGACTGATTTTGTCACTGAATCTTGACAAGTGATCAGTGTGATGTACATTGTACATGTATCATTTACACAATGTTGATTCGATTTTTTAAACGAATGATAAATATGAACTTTGCTAAATGTAAAATATAAGAATTTCCATGGTGAATTACTAATAATAAGGTTTTAACAAGACTGTCTACTAAATCAATTAGTGTAATGGTATCAAACAGGAAAGTAGAAACATTTTGTCACCCATGAAGCAAATTAATTTGTTACTGCTTAATAAATGGTCAAGGACAGTTACTTCTAAAAGTATGAGATTGAGAATAGCATGACGTCTTGATATTTCAAGGTAACTCGTTCGAAAAGTGATGGCGGTGATCGAAATTAAATTACGATGTAAAGATAAAACCGTAATGAAATATTAGTAGATTTCTTTGAAAAACTAAGAAATATACATCACATATCGAATTTTTCAAAACAGAAAAAACATATATAAAAAGTAAGGCCTGCTGGTCAGATTCCCCCTGGTAGCATTAACATTGGTCTAATACATGTCATACAATTAATATTTGAAATACAACTATCATTCGAACTTATGATCGGACATAAGTATTATTTTACTTTATTAATATGGTATTGAAGTACACATCATACTTATGTCCGATCATACGTTTGAATAATAGTTGGGTTTCAAATATTAAAATGTTTGACTTAATGTTAATGCTACCAGGGGGATTCGGACCGTCACGCCTTACTATTTATACATGTTTTTCCGTTTTGAAAATTTCAATATGAGATGTATATTCCTTAGTTTTTCAAAGAAATCTACAAATATTTTTTGCGGTCTTATCTTTACATCGTCATTTCAACCGTCATCATTTTCGAACGAGTTACCTTGAAATATCAAGACAGTATGCTATTCTCATACTTATAGTACTTAATATGACGACTGTCATTCATCATTTATTAAGCAGTAAACTATTAATTTGCATCATGGGTGACAAAATGTTTCTACTTTCCTGGTGAATGTCTCACATCCTACGAATGTAATTTTAGGCGATCTGTCTACATGGGGTGTATTAGAACATTCATAGTTATGAACTACAGTACCTGAAGACGGAGCTCTCTTAAAATTAAGAAGTGAGGTCGAACGAATGCAAAGGGTAGGCTGATTTAGACAGTGCGTTTTTCGTTTATGTTCTTCAAATATAATGATGCCCTTTGAGTCTTCGTAGTTGAATTGGCTAAAACAACCACATGCAAATGTGATCATCTTCATTCCTGTGACCTAAAGTCGAAGACTTAATTTTCAGATTTTCGAAAAAATATAAGAATATATATTCGCGAATGCAACTCAAAAAGCTGTCTGCTACCGGATTAACCTACTATGAGCAACTCAAATGGATCTGAATGGCGCCAGAGTATCATACTCTAAAATGTACAATTTCTTGTTTTACTTTTAAATGGCACGATGTAGTGACATTATAATATTTATATATGTTTGCACCATAACTCTGAAGGCATTAATGAGAATTAGATATTGATTATTTTTTTATAAAAAAGTGCTCTATCAAGCTGGACAAAAAAATTAAATATTTTTCATAAAAATATTTCAGACTATGATATACTCTGGCGCCGTTTTCAATAACTTTTACGCCTAGCATTATTCAAACAGTAGTGAATGTTATCCGCAAATGATATACTCATTGCATGGAGTAGTTAATTTCCTTTGGGATAACGAAACATATGAGTTAAAAATAATTTGTGAAGTTTTCCTAGGATGAAGAAATTAAATTAAATTATTTCTTCATCCTAGAGTTTTCTTAGTGTTTTTATGAAAAATAGCATGCTCCATCAAGCTGGACAAATTTTTCGATGACAACCCGTGTATAGCGATCACCATGACTATCCAGAGAGTTAAGTCAGGTGTTTGGGAATGAAATGTTTTTATCTTGATGATAATATATTCAAGTCTACACTGTAGAATAAGTTTTAATCAATCTTTAATTTTAAGCGATGATGATACATTGTTTCGTTAATGGAGTTTGATTCCTTTCGTTTTATGCTACATATGTAGAAGCATTGACGTAGCCAGGAAGAAAAAGCGACGAGGCCAGATCCTGCGACGAGGCGAAAAATATTTCCAAACCTGTTAAACGAGCGTTGGCAAGCGCCTTGTCTGTTTGCCTCACCCTAGCTACGCTAGAGAGAAATACATAATCTCAATATTTTCTCATTAATGCTGAAACAGGTCACACTGACCTGTGATAATATACAAATATGATAAAAAATAAATATACATTCATCAAAAAATAAGTTACATTCTGAGTGTTGCTCAGTAATTTCAATTCTCTGGTTCGCAGAAGAAAACGCCAGATGAACAATTAGTGAAATTTAAATATTTTCCGTGCAGGTCAATATTTGATTGACAGCTCAATTTTTGCACCTTCCATATTTGGAAGTGAAATTGATGGCCTATGTTAAAACTCCAAGGTCAAGCTGATCTGGTCACTCTATAAACCAATTCAAAAACTGAATTTCTAATTGAAATTGATCAATTCAATCTTCATTTTTACCAGCTAAAACATATTTAAAGAAAAAATTACCTTTCAAATCGTCCTCGGCTATCCAATATCAGTTAATATGAAAAGTTTTATCTTTCTCTATTTTATTTGAAAAGAGGTTTTTGCAGTATTTTGTTTGACTGATTTTGTCACTGAATCTTGACAAGTGATAAGTGTGATGTACATTGTACATGTATCATTTACACAATGTTGATTCGATTTTTTAAACGAATGATAAATATGAACTTTGCTAAATGTAAAATATAAGAATTTCCATGGTGAATTACTAATAATAAGGTTTTAACAAGACTGTCTACTAAATCAATTAGTGTAATGGTATCAAACAGAATTTTTCTTTCTGTAGTCATTTTTGTACAACTTGTGCGAAAATGTTGTTCATTTTCCAAAGTTTTACACATATCTCATTAACGTTCAGCTTTATATGACGACCATTTTAGTTACCGAGTGTAACATTTCATCCGGATATGACTTTTTGTTAATGAGGAGCTGCTTAACTCAATGTCTGCAGGGTGAGGGGTCGGTTTTTAATAGTACATTTGCCTAAAAAAGGTGATTCGGGGTGTAGAGGGGCAACGTTTTCATAGTCTGAAGTTGATTCCAATAAAAACAAAATTCATGAAATATTGATAGTTACCTTAAATACTGTAGAAAATGCAGTGATAATTATTGCTCTATTTGATATATAATCATTTAATCAGCATATTGAAGTCCCTTTCCAACTACATGCTTTGTTTCATGAAAATCATCTTATTTAATCGCTAATCATGTTCTGATCACGAATTTGAAACAGTTGAATTTTTTGCATGTTCCTGAATCTGTCTGTGCAAACTGTGATACCAAAATTATGATGATAATTAACCAAGTCCGAATTTGATATATAATTTTTCATTCTCCCCTCCGCAGCCCTCCCACCAATTTTTCAATTTCACTAATTCGATTTATATGCTGTTACCTAGGTGGTTGATAGGTAGAATCATCCACCGAAATAATGCTGGAATAGTACCTAATCAAGCATTTATTTTTTTTCTTACTGAATCACAAATTGGTATTTGTTGTACATGCTAAAGACAAAACCAAGTTAAAATTGTTGATTATTCATTTGTGCGTCCCATTGCTTTCAATGGGTTTTCAAGATACCAGCTACATGTATCTTTGAAAGTGCATAAGTTCAGTTTTAGAAAAGCTTTTACCTTGATTCAGAGACATTAAGTAATGTTATGATATGTCTCTGCTTGATTTTTGTTTTATTTGAAAGATAATAGATTCTTTTCTAAGGATATTAAGCATTTTTGAATGAAAATTAACAATATATCATACAATCTAAGTTTACACCCCCTACTGTAGGTCACGTTAACCTCGATTTGACCTACTTTTTAAAAATAAAACAATACTTTTCTGAAAGGGGAATTGAATAAGGAATAAGGTATACAACAATACCAATATTATTGAAATCAGATTATGTAATTAACTAAGCATTAACATGCAAAATGTCACCGTCTGCACTTGTAGTGGTGACATAAATATCGCAGAGGGTTGGGGTTCCAAACAAGTTTGGATCAATATAAATTCTTTTGGATCATTATATATTCCCAATGCCCCCCCCCCCCCCCCCTTTATTCCACAATTTTCCTTCGGTGACAATAAGAAGGAATTCGATGAAAATTCAAATAAATTCCCAAAAGGCAGAAAGGCATCATTCCATTATTCAAAGTGTAAACAATTCATGTAAACAATCAAATTAATTCAATTAATTAATTCAAATAATTAATTCAATTAACTATATTTGACAAAATGGGGTTTCCTTGGAATAATAATAAATTACAAAAAACGTTAAATAGCTAGCACAGGGAATAAATGATGAATAGCTGTTATTCAATTTGAGCTTCAATAATAAATAAACATAAAACAGATGTTACATATTATTTACTATATATTGTAAGTGTATCATTTATAAATATCACTATATAAATAAAAATATAAAAAACAAGACAATGGGTTGCAAAATGTCTCCATTCAAACAAATCATCGTGCTCCACTGAGGGTCATTGCCAGGCATACTCAAGAAATAAATCATTGTCTGTAAGATGTTACCACTTTGGATTTTTACCCAGCATACTTAAAACTATAAATCATTTCCTGCAAGATGTCTGTACTGTCATCCATCATTCTCAAAAACTAGTCATTTAATGCAATATGTCCCCACTGTAGGTTATTACCCATCATTCTCAAAAACTAGTCAATCAATGCAAGATGTCCCCACTGTAGGTTATTACCCAACATTCACAAAAATTAATTATTCATTGCAAAAGTTTTCAAGAAAGTTTGCAGTTTTCTAGAAAACCATGGAAACAATGCCACACATAAAGACATACAATAATGCCATATAAAAAACATATTGGCCCAACAATATGCCTCCAGATTGAGTGATAGGAACATAACTTTCACATATTTTGATCTGTTTGGTTTTCATCATTGTACAAACTTATAATTTGTAAATTTTGATTATAAGGATGGCATTTCAAGTATCAGCCTTACATGATTAGTAATACTGGATTCCAGAACAATGGAATTCTATGATCTATTTAATGGAATACAAAATTGACAGATAGCTAAAAATAATGATCTTTAGGTATTGCTGTCAACCATAGAGTTCCTGTTGACAATCCTTCTATAGTTCTATCTTGGTAGCATGAGGATATAGACGGATATACAGTATATCCCTTAACTCTAGCATCACTGTGTCCTAGTGAGTGATGCATCAGGAAAAGCGTTCATACATGGCACGTAGTATATTCCCCGGAATCAGTTGGTGAGTCTTGATCAGATCTTGTACAGCAATCTGGATCTGTAAGCAAACAAAAATACAGTAAATGGTAAAATCTGTCTTATCTGAACACCATCGGGAACAGCTAAAAGAGTTTGGATTGGCAACATGCAAGTCTATGACTGTGTATGACCTATAAAACAACACATTAACATGTCAAAAAGTCACCACCAGTTAGTATTGCAAGTTGTAAGAATTTGTAACAGATGCTGAACCCTGATCGAGACTGCCGAACACCATCCATAAAATGTCACCACTTCTGGTGGTGACATGAAAACAACAAAAATGTTCACATTAATAGGTTTGGGAAAAAAGAAAGGATCGCATTAGACTACATTGCTAACAAGAAAACGGCAACTCCACGGAGTAGCGAATCCCAACAAACACTCTAACATATATGAATCTGTATTTGTCACAAAAAAATATAAACATTGGAAACATTAGAGATATCAGAATTTCTACCAATTTTAAAAGCATTTGGGTGACCATTTAAGAGTTTTAAAGGCACAAATTATAAAGACAATTCGAATTTTCTGAGGCACAAATCAGGAAAACAATACCAAAATAGTGATCTGCCCTTTTCCTACAATTTGAGAATAATATAGCCATACTTTGAAGAGATCAGAAAATTATTGCGAAATTCCACATAAGGTGGCCATTTTGAATTTTACGAGGCCCAAATTACAAAACCGATACAATATTTGCAATCTACTCTGAATTGCCTTTCATTTGAGTATAATAAAGCTATACTTTAGAAAGTTCTCAAAATTAAAGCAAATTGATGGCAGCCATTTTGAATTTTCTGAGGCACAAATCAGAAAGATAATACCATAGTAATGATCTACTCTAATCAGAACTTCGTTCGTTGGGATAATGAAGTAAGGATCACATTGCTAGTGTGGTGGCTTCAATAATGTATGAAACTCTATTAAATGGAGAAAAGAGTGTTGTTAATACAAACATGGGTTTTCAACTACTCTAATTGAAAGCCCATGATACAATGCAGTGTCTGATTATTAAAAATTGAAATTAAAGTAAGCCAAATCTACCAAATAGTTAAATAGCAAGAGAATTTGCCAAAATGTCTTAAATAGTGCAAAACTGACCTGACCCTTGGTTTGAGACCATACATACCTTTTGAGCAAACTGCTCTGGAGTTGTGTTTGCCTCATGATGGATGGGTTTACCTATAAATGTTCTGGAAAATAAAATAAACACTTTTGTAAACCCAGTCACAAATATATTAACTTCAAAGTTTTTAATATTTCTTCTAGGAATCCACTATTGTATGTATATCATCTCTCATATTTGCATCACAATAAAGAAGCAGAAAAGTGTATAGAATATTTGTATACATGCGATGCAACCATTTGCAACTAGGATGAGTTGCATTGGATGTATCAAGGGATATTAATATATAAAGATATATAAGACATGCATAGAACACCAGAACATGTGCTTACTTTAATTTAACAGGAAATCCTCCATAAAGAGGGACAAGAGGTAGTCTGGTTTTCTCATATAACTTCCTCAACCAGCCTGGAATTATGAAGAATAACTATGATTATACATGTAGAGCAAAACTTGCCTTTGTGGAAAGCCACTGGGACCACAGACGTGTTCTGCTTCCGACGTGTTCCACTAAAGATCACAGGAGTCCAAAATTATTCAACTTACACAAATGCCTCAGTTACATTTGAAGTATAGCAATCGTATGTCAGTCAGTCATAGCTGTCAGTCGTAGCTTTCCAAAATCGAGATAAACAAGCAGCATGAAATACAGGGATAAGCAGTACGATGTAGATTTTCCATATCGATTTTGTGAAGCTACAACCACCATATGGCTGCTGTAGAGCAAATGTGACAGAAGTTTTTCATTTCTAAGTTAAGTTAAGCAATAATCTGGTTACAAATAATTAAAACCAAACCTTTAAATAATCCTAGTGATCTAAATGCTTCTCTGCAGTTCTGTGTAAACATAGGAATGACTGGCTGAAAGTAAAAATATAAAAATATTTTTTAAGACTCAAACCATAAAATAAGCACATGTACTAACATTTAATTTAACGTTATCTGTATCAGGTGCTAAAAATTTCTATACATTGTCTATAGCTCATCAAATTGTATTATAGTTAAACTTTAGATGAACTGAAATTGATGAATCTAACGAATTGCAAATGATAAATTGAAATTCATGAACTGTTACAGTAATGGATGGTGGATAGTATTAGGTATCAACTTACTACTTTGGCCTCCATTGCTATCTTAGCAAAGCCAACCCTCTTTCCCCAGAGGAGCCCATAATTCTCATCACTGAAAAAAGCCTCTCTTACACCCCCTGGAATATATGTAGACAATAAATTACACAATTTCTCACACTACGAAAATACATGGAGATAGTCTCTTTAACAATTTCCTACATCCCCACAATACATGTTCATATTATCTTTAATTCCTACACCCTCTAAAATGCATGTAGATGATCTACTATTCTAAAGAATGATCTAGTTGAAAATGAGATAGAATTAACATGTTTGAAAGAACTGATATCGGAAATTGACCTGGCATATTTCCAAATACTTTCCTAAAGTACTTTCCAAAACTTGCTTTATCCATGTAGCTGTTTCCTACCAGACTTCAATAGCTACCTATTATTTCAACAGTAATTCTTGCTACCTGTCTTGAAATAGTCTCATAATATTAGCTGTTATGATTCTGTGGTACTTTGGCATCTGAGCAATAAGAGAAATGCCACTATTTCAATGTTCAATAGTAATTAAATTATTGAGAAGAAATGCTTACCAGGTGCTATAGCCATGAGGTTACCCTGCTTCATCAGCTCAACACTGTTTTGTATGCTACCCTCTGACACATGGAACACCTCTAACAACAACTTAAAGCCTGGAAGCATACAATAGAACACAGTGTTCTCCCCAAAAAAAATTTTCAACTGGGTGCAAGATTTCAAGTCTGAAAAAATCAGCACTCACTACGCTCACAATATCTCAGTGTAGGTGCTTACTTCACTCATTTTTCAAATCAGAAGTTGAAGTGCAGATTCCAACTGGGTGCCAAATGGGGGGCCTTTGGTTTCAAGTAGGGGAAGCCCCCAGTAAAAGTGACATGGGGAGATCACTGGAACATATTTAATGTGAGCACACTTTGTTAAGTAGAAAAACAGCAACTCCACAGAGTAGCAAATCCCACCGAACAAAACATATTATGCTTATGTTGAAAATGTAAACGTTGAAATGTTTGTGCACTTTGTGATAGAAGCATGAAATTAGGCACAAAGTTAGTTTATACCATTGTGAACTAGGCATCATCATATAAAATTTGAACCAAATCCGTTCACTGGTATATGTCAGTTATCAAAGATTACGTTTTTTACGAAAATTGGCCGCCACCTTGAAATTCAGCCGCCATCTTGAAAATTATTTCTTGAACAGAGCTACTGTGTCCCTAGGCATAATCATATAAAATGTCAACCAAATCTGTTCACTGGTATTTGAGTTATCAAATATTACGTTTTTTACGAAAAATTGCCGCCATTTTGAAATTAAGTGGCCACCTTGAAAATTTTTTGTCGAACATAGCTGCTGTGTCCCTAAGCATCATCATATAAAATTTGAACCAAATCCGTTCAATGGTATATGAGTTATCAAAGATTACGTTTTTTACGAAAATTAGCCGCCATCTTGAAATTCGGCTGCCATCTTGAAAATTACTTCTTGAACAGAGCTACTGTGTCCTTAGGCATAATCATATAAAATTTCAACCAAATCTGTTATCAAAGATTGCGTTTTTTACAAAAAATTGCCGCCATTTTGAAATTAAGTGGCCATCTTGAAAATTTTTTGTCGAACATAGCTACTGTGTCTCTAAGCATCATCATATAAAATTTGAACCAAATCCGTTCACTGGTATTTGAGTTATCAAAGATTACATATTTCTACGAAAAATGGCCGCCATTTTGAAATTAAGCGGCCATCTTGAAAATTTCTTTTTGAGCGAAACTTCTTTGTCCCTAGGCATCAGCATATAAAATTTGAACGGATGGCTTCTCTATATCCCCCTCGAACTTCGTTCGGTGGGATAATAAAATGGTATTCAAATCTGTTAAAGGCCCCATCTAAAGTTTAAACCACTTTAGCTTATATTGTAGTCTTACCCAATGTTATCAAAGTGTGATATGTGAAACTTTTTTTTTAAATTTCAAAAAGTGGTTTTTGATAGACTTTTTGTTCCAAAATTTGTGAATTTATTTTAAACCAACTTTTAGAGGTCACTCGTATCTTTTAATTAGCCACAATTCATACCAATGCATAGTATTCATCCTCCCATGTTTTTTGCCGAAAAAATTAAGAAAATCGGTTCATAAATAAGCGAGAAATGAACTTATCAGTGCATGAAAATGGTTCTGAGAAAAATGCATTTCAAAATTTTAGTTCTCATAGAAACCAATGGTACAATGATATCTAAAACATAATTCCTTTTAACCTGGTAAGACAATCAACATTTGTTTTTATGAAAGTCTAACATATTTAGAAAAGATTGACATCGAAAAAGAAATTTCAATTTTTTTCAAAAAGTTTTTGGTACCTTAGTGACATCACTAATGTTTCAAAATATTTTTGATATGTTAAAACATTGAAGTGGCCCATTAAATATGGCATTTTATTATTGAAATAGTGTGTCCTTTGTTCAACCTTTGCATTGGTGTTAAAAAGATCATCTTTTTTGAAATGCATTAAGAAATATTTGATGATTAAGAAATTTCAAAAATCTCTAAAATCACTTTTTAAGTCCTGACAAATAGTAAATGAATGATAAAAAAATATTTTCAAACTTTAGACGGGGACTTTAAGGTGGTGTGCAATATGTTTTCTATATATTCAAGAGTATTTTTTTGATTCCATCGCAATTGTCAATGAATCCTAGCTCTTGCACTCCAAGTGAGCCCATTCTGAACCTATCTTTGATTTAATCTTTAATTTAATTCTTTAATACCATTGCATCATTCCTCTTTTCAAACGTTTGCAACCTACTAGAGTAACCTAGCAGCTAATACCACCAGTACCCTAGCAACTAACTAGGGAACTTACATGGGTAACCTGGCAACCACCGCAACCTACTAGATAGTAGCCTTGCAACAGCTAACCAGCAACCAAGGAACTTACCAGGGATCTTCCAGAGGAACCTGTCACCAACAGCTCTGATCTTCCTATGTTTGTACAGAATACACTTGGCTAGCACGTAATAGTAGTCAACAGGTAGGGCACCATGGTAGTAGATTATCAATGCTGGGCCTTCATCAGGTATATTCTCAAAGCCATGGATTTCATAACCTGGAGACCATATAGAACAGCTTTAAATATGGCGTTGATTAATTAAACAAGATGTAATGCCTTTGTTTTAATGCTTGTGGCAAGTCTACTTGCAAAAGTCTCAGACCATACAGTACTTTACAAAACCAAGATTATGCTGAGTCATTCAATTTGCTTAAACAATGTTAAAATAACATTTAGCAGAGTTCTTTTTTGGCTAACTTAGAGGAGAAGATTTCCCCAAGTTAAAACTTGCCATTGAGGGCATGTGGTAGTCAAAGTAGGTCACTCGATCGAGCAATTAAGAATCACTCATGATGACACCTGGGAATGAAAGCTGATAACATAATTCTTACCATGCCAAATCCAACCCTGAGCATCCCATAATGCTGCTAACGTTTTTCTCGCGCCATCCCAAAAGTCTTTCGCATAGGCATCTTTTAACTTGTGACGATATTTGTAAATATGGAGAAATATTGCACTGGCGTATATAAGTAGTAGAAGTACTGCAGGTAGGATGAATGATAACACTATGGGGTAATACAACCAAGCTATCCATTTTATGTAAATACAGTCCAGGTAGAGATATTCACATAGTGATTCTGTCTTTATGTAGAGGAACTCTGCAACATTATAGATAAACTCTGACATCTCACAGCTGCATCCACATCTGCAAAGGAGTGATATCAAATGTTTAAGCAGTTGTTTTGGGGCAAGTTTATAAACAGGGCAAGAAGATCCATATGCTAGTAAAACCTGTGTACAGTGAATACCTATGAAGCCACAAAAATTGTTCTATAGGTAAGAGTTCACTACAGAGAGCGATTTCATACAGAAGTCAGTCGAGTATGTGCCGAGAAGGGGTGTTCACTAAGACAGGTTTTAGGGGATGTATATATTGTCATAGCCACCAAGGTATTGGAAATAGTGATGACAGGTGAATATTTGATCAAAAAGTAAATGTCAAAAGCTAGAAAATTCATGAAGCTATTAGAATTTCTTACATTTTTTATGCCTATGACAACTTACAAGCAGCATACAGTAGTTCTATACAGCATATTTTTGACATATTTATATTGGCCGATAAACCCAGATAATTGTGGATTCAACTACATGAAAAGAATGCTAAAATACCAAGGAATCTATTGAAGCAAGGACGTCAACTGAAGTAAGTATCTTAAAGAGAGAATCAGATATAGCGAGCAGTCAAACAAAAAATTGTTTCAATTTTAGAATATTTCTGGCTTGTGTCATTCCTTTTCATGTCTATTTTCTAAAAATCCCCAATGTACACACTTTATTTCAGGAAAACTGAAGATTTTTACAATAATGTATTATTTTTCTATAAGAATGGTTACCATTCTTATTATACATTTTTCACCAATTTTTGCACTTTTAATCCATCATGACTTCACCATTTATAATATATCGAAGATCTTTTGGGAGATTTTGTATTTGAGATTGTAAGGAACAGATTGGTAGGTCAATTATACATGTTGTTTGTAGAAATTCTCCCGTGTTGTAATCGTACAGGCAAAAGATTGAAACGTTCTCAGGACTGGCCGGGATAAAACATCACAAGGATGTGTCATCCTCCTAAGCAGGTATCCAGAATCCGTACCTCCTTCTTCCCCCTGCTATAACCAATTTGAAAGCGCCCGATTAAACTGAATCACGTGATCTAATTATGGGCAATGACTAATACATGATTTCTGTCGCAGATTGCGAGTTCTTAATCGGGGAAATGCTAACTGCTTATCGCAGGGGGTAAAAAGAAAGAATATATTCTGGATTTTGAAGCCCTGTGATCGGAGGATGGGATGTGTATATTCAAAAGATAACTGGTGAGAATTTGTGCAAAGGATTGTGGAAAGCAAGAGACGTGATGTGTCTGTCATCGCTAAAGCTCTGGGGGTTTCCTTCCTCTAATGAGATTGAGAAGAGATGAAAAATGTTTACAAAATATTAGTGGGCGATAATGGAGCAAAGATGTAGGCTACAATTAGATTTCAGGAGATAAAAACATGTATTAGATGTATAGAAATTTTCCAATTATAAACATACTTACAAATGTGTTTGATAACGTCAAATACTCCAGATATGAGGTTGATTGTCAAAAATAAAAAATATCAAACTTTTTATCGGAGTGAATGAAATGTAATTTCTTCAAAAATATTATTGCTACAAAAAGGGAAATAAAAACCTTCTGTAAATATCAATAATATAGAAAAGTTACGATAATATATCAATGTAATTTTTCTAAGCTTTTTTGAAAGTCAATCAGTAATATAAATTCACTGCCCTACTAATTGATGACGTCAGAGTATGGAGAAAGTTTGAACGAATTGAAATAAGAAAACTTTGAGCATATACAACTCGGATTAATTTTGTAAATGAGCATCTACTTGTATCTAAACTAAGTGAGGATAAATAATGAATACTTAATCTATATTTTAAGAAGGATTAACACAAATCGGAGGTAAGTAAACGTTTGATATTGTCATCCAAAGTTGAGAGCACCAACAATCTCTTTGACTGGAAATAAAGTGTTTATTATAGTTCAGGGTCCTGAGGGTGTGGCATTCTATATACTTCATTCTCTTCATTATCATTGTGTGGATGTGTACTACTCGGAAAGAGGACATTTAGTGCTAGATTGTGGTCGCATCCTGAACTTATTTGGTGTATTTTAAGCTGAGAAATTTACTTTCAAAATTTGAATTGAACTTTGTCCAGAACATGTATATTGCCTATATTGTACACAAACTACTAGGCTAGTGCACTTGCACTGAAGAACTCTATAATATGATGTATATTTTGTATATGGTTTTATGCTTTTAATTTATGCTTTTACATAATTATCGTTGTAGTAGTTTGATGTCAACATTCTGTTGTCTAAAGTCGAGAAGTCATCCCTATACGGGTGTAAACGTTCTTGTGTCTAAGTATTATGTAGTCTAATACAATAATGATAAGTTACTTAAAATCCTCATGCCGGGTTCAATTTTCATTGCTACATTTCACCAAAATCTACTAGACTTTGTAAATTCTAGTAACTGGAAAATGTTTCCATATTGAGATCTATCCAAGATTTAGATTTTTTGAATTAATGCTATGAATATGACCGATGCAATACATCATTTAGTGTTGGTGTGTGTCATCAAACCTGAGACAACATACGACGTGAGAGTGTAAAAAGTTTATTATGAAAAGTTCAGAGATCTATACAGATCAATTTATTTATCTTGAATGGGAGTCTATAATTGTTAATTTTGACAGAAGTCACATTTAATTGCAAAGTAGAAATTTGATTGCGTCATATGATTTCAAATCATTAACATGTTTGCACCAGACTAACATGTGATATCAAAATAACACATTTGTATATAATTTTATATACCCTACTCTTCGAGGTTTTTGTTGATGGCACCATAATAAATTAAAAACCCTCAACATCGACTGCTAAAGTAATTTGCATTGATGATGCATTGATTGCATCTCCCCTTCATCTATTCTGAGCAGCCAGAGAATTAGAATATATTAATTATAGCATCAATGCATCTAGCACTATTTTACTCATGAAAAGGTTTTCGAGACAACTTATAATTTATGAGATCATAATTGGAGGTGTAAATCTTGACAAAACGTTTGAGTTGACAAAATTACAGGTACCTGCTGGAGTCAAAAGAAATTCCTGTTTTGATTCATGGATTAAAGATGCAGTATACCATAGGTTTCTCACCCAGACAATCAATGAAATCCCATTATTATTATTGCTCATATGATATCTAACATACCATGGATATATCTTTAGAATAACTTGTGTGTATAAAATTGCCGAAATATTGAAATAATTAACAGAACAATCAGCGAGGGGAATCCCCATTGAGTCATGTAAGCGTCCACACGCGCCTTGAACCAGGCAGCCAATCAGGTTCATGATAAACAAATTCAACTACCAATCAGATAATAGGGGGATTTCCCTCGTATATTCAAACTTCAGAATGAATTAATTTCCTCGAAAATAATCCGATTTGTCAGTACAATCTCAAAATTCACTCTGAAAGCGGGGGATTTGGGACTTCTTCGTTGCTAAGTAGATAGGTGAATATGTGGTGAAACTCAAAATGCAAAGAGGTCCAGAGGGGTCTTGATTGTGCTATCTTATGCTTATAGAGTCTCTTTAATAGATAAAAATATATTAACGTCCACTTCCAAAACTATTCAATGACTCTGATAAAGTAAAACAAAATAAAATGAGAAATGGCAAAACAAATTATACTATAACTCTCTCCGTCTCTTCAAAGTGATTAGATATGTCTTATTATACTCAATGCATTTAAGTTAATCTGAAAATATACAAATATTTAATTTTATTGTTAGTAAATACCTTTGCATTTATTTTAAAAGTGTCACAGCTATATTCACTGAAAATAGAATTAAATATTTGTTTTATTATTCACTGTTATATTCCTCACTCACATTAATGGAATAACAAACTATTGATGTCTATGATGTCATAACAATGTACTCCCTGGACGGACTATATAAAATTGAAATTACATGGGACTGAGTCGAGTCGTGACTGGTGAATATCATTTGATATTCAACAGTCACATGACTTCCATTGAATATCGCTTGTTATTTTTTAGTCACGTGTAGGACATGGACCAATCAGATAATGAGGAATATGACAGTGAAATAAAATTATTCTACATTGCATGTTGGATTGAATAGTATTTCTATACTAAGAGAGTTGTCATGGATGCTTGTCACTCATTAAAAATCAGTTTTATTCAACCTCTCTCATAAAATGCATCATAAGCTATAATGTATAGAATGAAAAGAATTAGATGCATGTTAGATGAATTTTTCCTGAGGTAACTATACCAAATGTTTATTAAAATGCAATAATTTGATTTAATGATAAGTCATATCAGTATAGAAAACTGATAAAATCTTTATTTTGACACACTGTGAAAATGCTTAGGACTGACAGTTTATAGTTGACAGTATTGTTTTTATCAAGAAATTTTTTTTGTATTTGTTTTGTTGAGAATATGTGCAGAATTTCTTCAAATTTTCTCTCTGTTTCTTCCTGTTCGTTAAGTACATATTGTAAGTACGTATTGCCATCAATGATCCAGCTTCCATCCTTCATTACTAAAGTCAGAGTAACCACATTGGCTAACCACTACAAGGTGACAAAACCTGGGACAAAACCTAAGGCTAAATATGAAAATAATCAATTGATATTTTGGTTATAATCCAAGCCATGAGTGTTCAAGTTAGTTCAAAATACAATAATCATATTCAAAATAGATAAATAATTAGTCAAATTATCCAATGAATCATACTAATATTCTTGAACTGGTCTATTGTAAATATAAAATTCAATAATTATTACTTTTAGCACTTTTTTATATTCGTGTAGAGGATAGAAGAATCACAAGTTTAGGATAATCGTAATAAAACTTTTATACATTTTTTTCTCGAGGATTTTGACACCTGTCCAGAATCCGGAATAGAATCTTGTTACTTCATAAATTGACTGAACTCCAGCTCTTGTAGACTTAGTTTTACACTATACTATAACAGGTATCAGGAAGCAGATGTAGCCTGTTTAAAGTATTGTCCTAAATTTGAATCCACTCATACTTTTAAATTACTCAAACAGTATTAATTCGGATTATAGTTCTATAATCGATACATTCTATTATTGTTGACTTAGTCAACAATGTATCAATGAAGAACTCCCAGGGTCTGTTACATAATATTTAGGTATATATTTTATACTCCAACACTCTTATTTATTTGGCTAGGGTCTTGGTTGAGGTTGGGTCAAATTTTGAGCATATGGGCCTTTACTACTATTGATATCCTTTGATACTATTGATGTGGATTCATTTTCTGTTTCCCATATACATTTTGCATTGAAATTCTTTTGAATGAAATGTTATATTCCAGAAATTTATTTTTTGTGACTTGTAATTTCAGGAACACTATCAGCACTTGAGTTTACCACTTAAATGTAATATGACGTGGAAATGTGACCACGCGTCCAGGAATGGCATTGTTGGTAAGTCATTTATCACAATTTTTTACTAGCTAGCTGAATGAAAGTTTTCAAAACTGAATAAACCTTATTGACGTCATTATAATACTCAAGTTTTTTACTCCCTGTCATAACAGACATATTGAGTTAACATGTTTACTTTGGTATTGAAACAAATTTTCCAACTTAAAGGATTTTAATTCATACCAATTCTATGATTATTTGAAAAGTTAACTTCCTAGTCACTAAATAATAAATTCATAACTACATCATTGTTATTTATGAAAATTGTAATTATTAATCGGGATCCTCAAGATCAAAATCTTTTTTCTTAGACAAATTCTAAGATATTCTTGTATGCCAAAGAATCATTTAAATTCAAGTTTGACATTGTTTGATGTTTGCTTTTTATTTTAAAGATTTTGTATTCGATTTTGGACAAACATTTAGGGATATCTCACTTTTTTTTACTATTTACAATTCGGCTTACATTAATAGTTATACTTCAGTGTGAACATGGACTCGGCAAACAAACATTATCTTTGTGACTTTTCATGACGTATTTCACAATACAGTGTTTCAGATACATAATTCAGTTATTTGAAATATAATTTGTTTTTATTGCGTTGCACTTAATGTTGCAGATAACGATAGTAATTGTACATATTAGGTACATATTTAGGTACATATTTAGGTACATATTTAATTGATTCAGGTTCAAGGTATACTATATTTTATTTTAAAATGAATGCAGACCCAACAATTCTTTCTCTGTCTTTAAATCACTGCTATTGATTACAGGAAAATTATCTTGAATTAAAAACAATGAAAACCCAATGATATTAATTGTTACATGTATACTGTAATCTTTTCAGGGATAGTGATTTCTAGACATAGGTATTCATAATAGTGTGTCCTTTTTTATTGTGAATAAAGTAGAAACCTGAAAAAATTATATAAAAATATTAAAAAGGTAAAAAAGGTTAAAAAGATTGTCTCACAAACTAGGACCTTTCCTTTCTCCCTTGAAATTATATATTTATATTCAGTACAGTACCCTTTTCTCTGTTCCAATCTCAAACAGCATCAATGAAACAGTGCTGGACAGCGCTGTAAAAACTGAACTGCACATCGCTGTTTTCAAAAACAGTACTTTACAGCGCTGTAAAAACAGTACTGTATTGCGCTGTTCAAAACAGGTGATGCTAGAATAGCACTGTACAGCGCAGTCTTCAAACTGCACTGTTCAGTACTGTTTACAGCGCTGCGAGATGATGTTGCGGATTGGGGGTGTAGGGCACCTTTTTCTCTATATTTAATGTTTCGTACCCTTATAAAGCCTGTTTCAAAGTGTTCATAACTGACAGGTGTGAGATAAAAATTAATTCATGCACATGTGCAAAAAACAAAAGTATGGCAGTGAAAAAACCCATCAAAAATATTGTACTGCAAATAAAAGATGTTTTGATAAAAAAATTATCTCCAGAATTCAATATGCCACTACATTAATTAAAAGAAAATGTGTTCTTTTATGGTTATGAATGTAAATCTCCTAAAATCGCATTAAAAACAAGACGTCAATGGCATTTCAAAAGTGCACACCCTCCATTCATGATAAAAAAGTCACACTAACAATTTTTAGAGTCATTCTATTCAATCCTTTAACTTTTCCCTTATAATTAGGAAATTCTTTGAAATGACTGTTTTTTATACCTCTAAATATTCGGTACCAGAAAAAATAAAATGATGTGATTGGTAGCGAGCCTCATATTAATTTACAACTTTGCAGGGAGGATTTGGTGGGGCCTCCAAGAAGAAAGGTGCATCAGGAAAGGATAGAGGATCTCGAGAGATGCTTGACCGTAGACCCCTCAAGTCATTAGTACTCCAGCCCCCACATTACGTCATTGACAGGAAATACCTACATGAAGCATTTGTAGAAAAGGAAATAAGAGTAAGTACTCTGAAACACTAAATGCTAAATGAAATTTACATTGTACTGTGGACTATTCTACCAATTGGCTTCAATATCACTGGTGTTTAAAAAATACCTTTTAGGAAAACCCATTCTGATACTCATAGCATCTTTCTGTTTCACCTGAAACATGCTCTGATATTATGAGGCATATTCTGTGATCTGAGCACATCAGATGGGAAGAGTTATAAGTGTGACTGTTATCATGTAATCATCTACCTTAATGTCAATACATAACATAATAGGCATTGTATTTAACAGCATATATTAGCACAAGCACAGGTACACACGTTTAATGACCCCAATTAAATGAAATATGAGCTGGGATGAAAGATCTCAAAAATCCTCAATTTTGGGCTCTCCTAGATCGCCAAATCAAGCTCATTATATCATGGCATCTCAGGGCTGAGAAGAAATGAGATGTCATGGATTATCATGATGAGGAAAACCTAGAATTCTCGGAACTTTGTGTTGTTAGATCAAGCCATTCTTTAGCTAAGTCTTGATCAAGAAATATATAAATAGCAAGACTAGGACTTGAAAGGGAGGTCAGATGTACCTAGTGTAACATTTTAATGTACATATATACATTTCTTCATAGCATTACTAAAAGCAATATGTGTGGTACCTTTATATTATAAATGTGTATCATATTACTCTTAACAAATTCATTTTTATTTTGTTTAATATTTATTTAGTTTAGTTTAGTTTTTTACAATAAAAAAGCATTTATCAGGTACTCAATTTACTGAGTGCTAACTAGGTCCTTTCATACATTGACATTGAAGGTTAGCTTTGGGTTTTTATTATGCAAATGATAAATAAAGAATGACGCATCCTCATTCATCAATGTTGCGATTCTGCTCAACATGTATTTTATTTTGCACCACGCCCAGTGTACATATCTGTATGACCATTTATTTAAGCTAGTTGGTGTTGATTTAGAATATCTATTCATTTATAAGGTCTGAATATATGGCGACAATTATACATTTGTATTTAATGAATTAATCATAGCATCAAAAACAAAATGACAACCAAAACTAGTCTAAGGTATGTTAACTGAAATTAATTGAATAAAATACCTTAATTGAAAAGAAAATTTAATTAAAAAACTGGAGCTGCTCTTAACCTGAATATGTTAATCCTTATCCAGTATTAACTGAAATTAATTGAATAAAATACCTTAATTGAAAAGAAAAAAAACTGTAGCTGCTCTTAACCTGAATATGTTAATCCTTATGCTTATATATAATGCTTATACATTTGTATTTAATGAATTAATCATAGCATCAAAAACAAAATGACAACCAAAACTAGTCTAAGGTATGTTAACTGAAATTAATTGAATAAAATACCTTAATTGAAAAGAAAATTTAATTAAAAAACTGGAGCTGCTCTTAACCTGAATATGTTAATCCTTATCCAGTATTAACTATATGATTGCATGATTGTATCAAATGAATATGGCAAACCCATGTCAAAGACCTAATGATTGGTTCACAGTAACTCTAGACTGAGTCCTTTCAGCCCAGAAATTTCATTTATCGTTACTTTTATGGTGTGTCCTCGTTCTTTGTTCTGTGCTGTTTTCAGTACAATATTTTGTTATTCAAAATCACAAATTTTTCTCTGCAGACAAAAAAAATGAAAATGGAAATTGTTGATGAACTAAGAGCAGCAACCTTTAAAAACATCTTTTGTTCCCTATCAATTCAGTTCTGATCTAAAACATTCAAAAATGAGTTTGATACGATTTTGTGTTTTCAAAGACACACGCCTATTTTTAATTTTGTTTTTATTAAAATCAGCATGACTTTTATGCTGTAACAATTAGGTAAAACCCGAAATTATCAATCTTTTAGATACATTCAGTACTGTTTTACGATGTGTCCTTTTATTTGTTTGGTTTTAAGGTTACTCACACGTTGATTTACACTTTCAATAGCATACAAGGTCAAGTATTGCAAAAATAAATTTAAAACCACCACGCCTTTTACTCGAGCAAGTTGAACAAACACTTATCAATTTATTTTTTTAGAACTGATGATGTGTCATATAATCTTGTATTAGTGATTTGATTCAAAGATGGAGTTTGTTTACCAACACTCAAATGTCAAATATATAATTTTCAAGTTTTGAGAAGTCGAGCGATAACCCAACTTCAAGATTCAGATTTGAGCAATTAATAAAAGTTAATTATGATCTCATTATTGCATTTTATCTTAACATAATTTTCCTATTTTTTATGTCAACTATTTAATCTTACTTTATTTGAAATTAATACTGTAGTCATATAGATTTTATTTATCAAGATTTTGTCCTGTGAATATGCTTAAGTAGAATGCTGATAGCTCTCAAACACAAGAACACACTGAACTAGATCCTGTTTTGTTAATTTTCGATAAAGTAAAATAATACAGAAAGCAGTAAGCAATGATTCTTTTATGAATCATTCTACTTATCATTTTGTTAGAAATACAAATGCATGATATGTCTGATAAATCTCAGTACTAATCTCAAACCATAATGGTTTTTTTTTTTTAAATATTAATATATGCCAATTTATGCATTGATGATCTCAAGTCATATCTACAATGACCCTAAATCCTAATCAGCTAGCCACACTTCACAGTCACACTGACTTTACAGTTTTCATGCTGATATAATCTTCCCAATTCTAAATGAATATCAGCTATTGACCTTGGGAATTCAAAGATGAAATAACTTAAATCTATTACAGAATATAGTGATTTTTCTAACTAAATGTTGAGATACGGATAATAGAATTTGTAATCATCTGTTGTTGAAAGAGTAGAAGTTGTTCTCTTTCTAAGGGTACTCAATACATTGACCTTGCTTACAAGTGTGAGGGTTAATGTCATCTTGACCTAGATAAGTTATCCTGAACACATCCGCCTTGTAGTAAAATCCATTCCCTTCATACGACATAATATTTTGACATGGGTTACCTCGCTTAAAAATAATTTAATTTGAGATATTTGAAAACCGGGTCAATATTTGCATTCTAGGTGTTTCCTGATAAGTAAACAATAGTTTTGCCACTGTGTGCTGTTCAGTCATACTGTTAACCAATCAAACTGTGTTAATACCACATCAACATAGATTATACATACGGAGCCTTGCATTTCCATTTACACATACTTTTCAGCTTCATTTGTATTATAAGACCGATATGCATGGTTTTTCTACTTTAATATATAATGTTGGTGAGAAAATTCAATTGTTGCGTGAGTAGTGTTGTTTGTTTAATCAAAATAATATTAAAGTAAACGTTCTTATTGAAGTATTCCATATTTTCATTTTTATTTACTGTCTATTAACGTACAATGTTAACTTAACAGAGAAGCTTTTTTCGTAATGTAAATGTTGTGATTTTTTATATGGTATTTAATGTTTATGATGAAGTGCTAATCGCCACACCCAATGTACACTTAGGCTTATTGTATTACACTGCAGGTGTATTCATTGAGCCAGGTCTAGTACTCCTTTACAATTAGAATATGACATTTCGTGACAATTTATAACCTCACTTACATGCTAGCCTAACTTTCTATAGATCTATGAACTCGTGTGAGTAGGTGGATCGAGATGTTTGTACCCCCAAGGCATTGTTCATATAACGAGCGGAGCAAAAATAAAAAAACTTATTTTTTTAAAGTGAAGTATTCTGTTGCAAAAAAACTTAATACAGTTTAATAGGAGTTTAGTTTAAGGAAATACATAATTCAGGTTATTGACGTATGATATGCACTTATGTATGTCATTGTGTTTACAGCATTCACAGTTCTTTTCAGAATCCATGTATTTTACCTTGCATTAAGTTAGCAAATATTTACACTGTACAAGTACATTATAGCGTCATTACAATAATATGGTTCCTTATATAAAGATATATGTGTAACATCTTCAAATAAAAAACCCTAAATTACAAACACTTAAACGATCTAGCAAATGAGCAAAATAATCTTAAAATCGAGCCCATTTCATGTTTGGACTAGAAATGTTTTGTAACTAACAATTTATAATTTGCTAACTATCGCTTATAATCTGTAAATTTTAAACATTAGTTACCAGTATTTGAATAAATTTTTACGAATAATTACCTTGCATATTACCCATGAATTATTGCAGATAGCAAAGAAATTATTTGTGCATTAGCAATTGATAAAATGAAACGTAACGAAAATACTTAACTGCAATGAATAGTCATGTGATCTTGAATGGATCTTAATGATCTCACCTTAAGAAGAATTTAATTTCAAAATATGGGAATCTTTGGAATTTTCACAAAGAAGATAGGGTTTTTAAATATCTCATATAATATTTATGAAACACTTTGAGACTTCTTGACGGGTCGATAAGAGAATGGGTAAAATGTGAACAATTTGCTTAAATAAACATTAACCCTTTACCACCCGGCTCATTTTTGACGTTATACTACCCTTACCACCCAGCCGATTTGCTCAAAATGCAACTTTTGGGAGCACTTTTGTAACAATTTTTAACTGTCTTGTAAATGGTCTTAATCAATGATGCGTGGTATTATACATTCATTTGGTACAATGTTAAACTGTTCCCTTAGATTTTTTTATAAATATTCTAATGAGCGTTGTCATAGCAACCAATAAAACATGCCTAATAAACCCTCGATTTTAAGCGGATTTTGGGATTAATTCACACATATTGAAAATCAAAAATTAAGAATTGCTATAGTCATTGTGACAAAAAAGTTACATTTGTCTTAATACATTATTTTCTTTCTTAATTCTATCATTTGACTGCATTGTACTGCAATATAATAGGCTGTTCAATCTAATGTACTCACCAAAACTTATTCTAAAGTGAGAAACATTATGTATGAATTTGAAAATACAGTAAGATGTTTATTTGTCTTGTACATGATCATAATCAATGATGTGTGGTGTTATACATTCATTTGGTACAATGTTAAACTG